GTGGCAAAACCTTTTATTTGACAACAAATAATGAGAAAATGTGTTTTTTGAGATTCAATCGAAAGTGTTGGCAGGAAGGAAAACTCTTCATACAAGATATTTAGCTATCTATAGGACCTACAAAATGAGACCACAAACATTTCGTATTTGTGAGTGATTCGCAACAAAAGATGATAGACACATCCACTTTGTTTTAAAATGTGTATATAATAACGTATGTTTTTCGAATATCGTAGCGCATTTGTTCAGTTAGTCACAAATACGAGATGTTCGAATTTGTTTAGAAGAAAAAAAAAACGTAACTTTTGTTTTTCGCAGAAAATTCACATTTAACGTTTGGAATGGTTTGTGATTCATATCGGCAAGGTAAACACGTCTATTTTGCTATTAAATGCTCTTTCAACAAACCCTGTATATTGCTCAATAAACTAGTAGTGATAGCCGAAAAACAGGTGTTTTGGGATAAACAATTAAATATCAATAAGCTGCTTGACCAGTATACTCCAATTTTGTTGTTGTTATTTAGAAGTATGATTCCTACGGATTTGAAGAATTTCAAGTAGTTGCGTGAAATTATCGTCGCATTACCAGCAAGTGCCAAAACCTGCATTTTGCCTCATTTTTCGGCCATAACATTTTTGCTATTAGTCGGATCTTTCCACGTGCGGTCAAATTAAAATTATAATTATTCCATTATGTAGAAGACATAAAGTGTTTATGCACTCTTTATTTTGAAATCGCATCTCAAATCACGCCAGGAATAAATAAAAACGGTTTTTGGAAAATTCAATTTCTTTCGTCAATCGTCGACAATTGCGAAACTTTCATACATTGCAAATAACAAATAAGGCGGAATTAAAGAAAACTGAGTATCTGGTATTCCGTTGTTCACCTACCTAAATGTAAATATTCGTCTTATTCCATTAAAAGAAGTTATTCTTCTGATGATGTAACATTACAAATTTATTACAGAGTTTGCAGTAAGGAGGAGAAATCTAGTCATCATACTAAAACAAATGGCGAGGAAACTGATAAGCATACAGAAAAGCATAGTAGCTGCAGTCATAATGAATCTAGCAAAAGTAGTGAAACATATAAAAGTCGATATTCTCATAAAGGCAGTAGTAGCAAAGAGAAAGATAAGTCTAAGCATACATCTAGTAGACATGAAGATGAACGCAAGCGCAAACAAATGGATTTTACTCCAAGTTCAGAGTCAGAATCAAACACAAAAGGCTACACTTCAAATGAATCTTCATTAGAATTTGAAAGTGATCATAAGATAAGCAAACATTCAAAAAGTCACAGGGGGCGTAGCTCAGATCGGGAGGTAGATTCAAGGAAACGACATGATTCTACTAGTTCGAGTGAGAAAGAAAAACATACTTCAAGATCAAATGAGAACTCAGGCAAATACAAAAATTCAGAAGATGAAAAACACTCAAAGAAAAGGCATCGTTCAGGGTCAAGTGATGAAAAAGAGTCCAAGAAAAAATCAACAAGCAGTGATAAAGTCAGCTCCAAATCCACAGAGAAGTCCAACGAAAGAAAAGATAAGTATGATGAGAAGCATCCAAAAAAGAAAAGGCATTCCAGTAAACCTAATGATGATGAAACGACAAAGAAAGAAAAACGTAAGATCAGCGAAAGTTCCAAGTCGAAAGAAAAGTCGAGTAGTAGAGAAGGAGAGGACTCTGATGATAATAAAAACTCGAAGAGGAAAAGGAGTCATTCTAATGATAGCAGTGACGAGGGTAGAGCTGGAAAGAAGTCGGAAAAATCCATTAGAAAAAGAGAAGACTCAAGTGATGACAGGCACTCAAAAAAGAGGAGAACTCATTCTAGCGATGGTAGTGGAGATGACAAGATTGAGAAGAAAACAAAGTCTGTGGCATCTACTGATTCAAAGTAAGTCCTTTCTCTCATATATTATTTTCCAATTGGGCTACCTAATCATGAGCTAACATATTATTTGTTCGGGCTCTAAATGTCTGATTTTGAAAACATCTACTTCTTTGCAGGTCGAAAGATAGGTCCAGCAAAAGCAGTAAACAGGATGAGGAAAAACATAGGCATAACGACAAAGACTGTGATGAAGACAAGAAAAAAGAAAAGTCTAAGAGGGATAGCAAATCAAGGAGTGAGAAAGGAAGTTCAAGGTGAGTAGTACTTATTATTGTTAAACCTCTTTGCTTCAGCTAATATATTTCGGTGTTAAAGACAGTGGTTTCAATTTAAGAAAACTCTCACAGTCACCATTAGATATAAATTTTTTCCAGCCTTACAATTTTGTTACACAACATTTTACTTTACGAAACGTATGTTTCGAGATATTTTGTGGTTTCCGTTAAAAATTCATTAAATCTTCAAATAACCTTGACGGTGATAGTCAAGGTTATGAACAGATTTGAGCATTAAGTTTCTTGCTTTTTTTATTTTCAGTATCAATAATAGGGGTTTTCATTTACGAAAAATGTGTTTAACTTCAAATAAGCTTGAAGGTCACCACTAGATTCTATTCTTACAACTTTATTACAAAATATTTTTCTTTATGAAACGTATTTCTCGAGATATTTTATCCTCCACCTACTTTCTGGACACCCTCAAATAATAATTAGTTATAGGGATAAAAATTATGGTCAATGTCATAGGCAAAGACATGCTTCACATAATTCTAGCATTTTTTCGGTAGAAATTTTCAAGGTCCAAGGTGTTTGCTTCCGCCATTTCGTTGAAACAGTTCAAAATAGTTTTGTGAGTTTTTTGCTAGGGGGGACGTTTCTTCACTGCTTCACTTCAAGGAAAACCTTACTAATTACGACCAAATGACGCGGTTTTGATCTGTTTGTTACGCGGTAATGCAGCGTTACCCACAATATGACTTGAAGTCAGAGAAATCTTGAAGTCATGGTGATTTCATTTAATAAAATGTCATTTTTATTCACATTATCCATTGTTTTCCAGCAAAATAAAAATTCAGAAGGCATATGACGTGGATAAAATCGTAAATGGTATTGATTCGGGATCCGGTATCAGCTTTGAAGAGGCACTAGGGCTGTGTGGGCCCCCGATGCATACGAAAGGTACTTCTAGGAACAAGAAGAAAAGTCTCGAAAAATCTGGGAATACGAGACCGACTAAACGGGAGAGTAGCGAGGAAAAAGAACCATCGCTCTTGAAGAGTGATGTCAATGAGACTGTCGAAGAAGTAATAGTAAGTTCTCAACATATATTCAGAATGTTACTAAATGTTTCCAGGAAAAATCGAGAGCAGAAATAGCATTTAAAATATGGAAAAACGTTCATATAGACATAGGTCCGGAAATGTTTCCTTTCCATTATAAGTGGTGTGCAAACTATCTCAAACTCGGACAAGTTTTAAACACTCCCAGATCATGAAAACGGTGTTTTCCACAACAACGTGTAATTGACCATTTTTTAAATGCTTACTTCATCAAATATCCCGAAATAATGAATACTCTGTAGTCCAATCAAAAGGAGCATTTTAACAAAAATGGACCTCGCATGTTCGCACGATCAATTCTGAGGAATATTTTTTTAGGACCCCGCTCTACCAAAACAGCTGCAGCTGGAATCCTTGAATAACATTTCTAGTCAACTACCAGGAATAACCCCGAATTGCTGGCCTTTTGATTCAGAACTGATCTGCCAAAGAATGACTGATGATGAGGCACTTACTGGGGTGATGACAAACAAAAATTATAGGTAAGATTCATCCTTTTCCTTGCATAATTAATCTTGATAAGTGTCCTGAAAGATGGGCGTTTCCTTTCCATGTCAAAATTACGGTTCATAGGATGTCTGGTCGATAAATTCTTCCAATTCTTTTTGGGCTACTTAATCATTAGCTAACATATTATTTGTTCGGGCTCTAAATGTCTGATTTTGAAAACATCTACTACTTTGCAGGTTGAAAGATAGGCCCAGCAAGAATAGTAAACAGGATGAGGAAAAACATAGGCATAACGACAAAGACTGTGATGAAGACAAGAAAAAAGAAAAGTCTAAGAGGGATAGCAAATCTAGGAGTGAGAAGGAAAGTTCAAGCACAAAGTCACATTTATCATCAAGCAGTAAGGATAACGATGCTAATAAACATAAAGATGACAAGAAAAGCAGTTCTGGCTCTCAAGTCAAATCAAAATCTGAGCCAAGGACTGATAAAGATTCAAGGTGAGTAGTACTTATTATTGTTGAACCTCTTTGCTACAGCTAATATATTTCGGTGTTAAAGATAGTGGTTTCAATTTAAGAAAACTGTCACAGTCACCATTAGATACAAATTTTTTCCAGCCTTACAATTTTATTACACAACGTTTTACTTTACGAAACGTATGTTTGGAGATATTTTGTGGTTTCCGTTAAAAATTCATTAGCTCTTCAAATAACCTTGACGGTGATAGTTAAGCTTATGGACAAATTTGAGCATTAAGTTTCTTGCTCTTTTTATTTTCAGTATCATTAATAGGGGTTTTCATTTACGAAAAATGTGTTTAACTTCAAATGAGCTTGAAGGTCACCGCTAGATTCAAAACTTACAACTTTATTACAAAATATTTTTCTTTATGAAATGTATTTCTCGAGATATTTTATCCTTCACCTACTTTCTGGACGCCCTCAAATAATAATTAGTTATAGGGATAAAAATTATGGACAAAGCCATAGGCAAAGACATGCTTCACATAATTATAGCATTTTTTCGGTAGAAATTTTCAAGGTCCAAGGTGTATGCTTCCGCCACTTCGTTGGAACAGTTCATAATAGTTTTGTGAGTTTTTTGCTATGGGGACGTTTCTTCACTGCTTCACTTCAAGGAAAACCTTACTAATTACGACCAAATGACGCGGTTTTAATCTCTGTTTGTTGCGCGGTAATGCAGCGTTATCCACGATATGATTTGAAGTCAGAGAAATGTTTAAGACATGCTGATTTCATTTAATAAAATGTCATTTTTATTCACATTATCCATTGTTTTCCAGCAAAATGAAAATTCCGAAGGCATATGACGTGAATAAAATCATAAATGGTATTGATTCGGGATCCGGTATCAGCTTCGAAGAGGCACTAGGGCTGTGTGGGCCCCCGATGCATATGAAAGGTACTTCTAGTAACAAGAAGAGAAGTCTCAAAAAATCTCGGAATACGAAGGAACAAGGCGGCTCTTCGAGACCGACTAAACGGGAGAGTAGCGAGGAAAGAGAATCATTGCCGTTGAAGAGCGATTTCAATGGGACTGTCGAAGAAGTAATTGTAAGTTCTCAACATATATTCAGAAAGTTACTAAATGTTTCCAGGAAAAATCGAGAGCAGAAGCACCATTTAAGATATGGAAAAACGTTGACATAGACATAGGTCCGGAAATGTTTACTTTCCATATCAAACTCGGATAAGTTTTAAACACTCCCAGATCATGAAAACGGTGTTTTCCAGACCAATGTGTAATTAAACATTTTTTAAATTAAATATTCCGAAATAATGAATACTCTGTAGTCCAATCAGAAGGAGCATTTTAACAAAAATGGACTCCGCAGGTTGGCATGATCAATTCTGAGAAATATTTTTTTAGGTTCCTGCTTTTCCAAAACAGCCGCAGCTGGAACCCTTGAATAACATGTCTAGTCCACTACCAGGGATAACTCCAAACTGCAGGCCTTTTGATTCACAACTGATCTGCCAAAGAATGACTGATGACGAGGCACTTACTAGGGTGATGACAAACAAAGATCATAGGTAAGATTCATCTTTTTCTTGTGTAATTAATCTTGATAATCGTACAGGGTGCTCTGACAGATGGGGCTTTCCTTTCTACGCCAAAATTACCGTTCATTTGATAAAAAATTTAAAGCACCGCATTATCACTTGGTGTGCCTTTCAATTCCGTATTCAGAGATGTTGCGATGTACGAGTATTTTGCTGCCCTTTTCCATTTCGGTATCCGAGTATATAGGTATACTTTATGCAGTATAGGACTTCTTATAAGTTTTGCGAATCATTTTTGTTATCTCCAAGCTATAATTCATACCTTTCGCGGGTGACATATTGAACTTTAGGAAGTTATCCTCAAAACCATTTAGCTGTTCTCTAGCTGATTAGCTTTTAAGAACACACGCGTGGGATTACACGATTTAGGTTGGTATCAAAATATACTTGTCAGATTGAAACTTCACTATCCTGCGAATCCCACCTAATATTATGGAATAGAAGAAAAATTGCTAATTTTCATCAGAATTATACACTGTGTAAAGGAAATCCCCAAGTATATATGAAAATGTTTTAAAGAGATAGATAGGATTTTTGAAGTATACTCTTTTTTTAGGACCAAAGTATATCCTGGAAATAAAATGTCTGGGAAGGTGGATACTCTATCCGGTCACTGTGCGAGGATATTACAAGATAATATTGATGGTATGTATTTGCAATATGCTTAGTAGGAACATAATTTGTTTAAATCAGCCGTGTGGTCTGACGTGATGCCTTAATGGCATCCCCCATATTCTGTGGCATAAGATCGTTATTTCTCACATAAAAAACGTTATCTTACAGCATTGGAGTACACTGGAGGTGTTCCTTACTTATTTCTGAAACCGGTGTTGGAAAAAGCAACTCCAGATCAATTGCTGAATGTGGAGTATCATAATCCATACTTAACCGAGGAAACTGATGAATTGTGGCAGTTGTATTGCGAGAAGGAATTTCGTACTAAGAAAAGGGAAGAGATGGAATCTTGGAGAGAAATGTACTTGAGGTGAGTTTCATTTCAATAAATAATTTAGATAGAAATATAATTTCCAATTTGATGGTTTCTTGATGACACTCTGGAGCTGCAGAGCTTCCTTTTAACTCTTCGTCCGTAAATAAGTGATCACTTGAGTAGCCGCAGCCAGTGCCGCTATTTTCTGATGAAAATAATAGTATTAAGCTAAATTAAAATGTAGATCATACTACAGCTCTTTAATACATTGTTGAGAATTTGTCATTTATTTCACGTCAGCCTAAACACGCGGCTCCGCTCGCGTGGAAGTGATGTGAAATATATGTCATTTGTTTTGCATTAACGTGAAGGAGATTAGTTTCGGAGACAAAAAAAGTAATATCCAAATTTATGCAATAATTTAATAAGTTTACTGTGAAGCCTAACTGATCTTAAAATGGCCTTGAAGGTCATGGTCAGGTTCATTGGCAATGACATACTTGAAGTTAAATTATCCGCAATCTGTAATTCAGGAATTAAAAATGGATGTTTGTGATTTTAGGTGCTTCGGGGAGAGGGCAGCTAGGTTTAAGGCGATTACTGCTAACATAAGACAAGCTCAAGAGAAATTAGTACCAGTTAGAACTACAAAGCTTGCTTATATTGACAGCGTTGTCAAACCGCCTAGGAATATAGCCAGAAAGCAGGTTCGTGTAATACTGTTATAACTTTGTAGAGCAAAAAATTTTATTCGCATATTATTTCACCATCCAATAAAGTAAAGTACATACAGATAAACTCAGAGTTTTGTAAAAACGTGTATTGTGTGTACAATATTTTTGAGAAAGTCAATGAACTATTTTTAAACACCTTTAAATACTTACCTCAAATTTCTGAACTATAGACAACCGACAGTTTTTAATACAAAATAAAACGAAGTTTTCTGCTAAAAAGGACCTCGGCTGAAAGCAATACGTACAATTAGACAAGTAAAACAGCTTTAATTATTCAAAATTTAATTCTCAAGTTCAGTTTGTAGATTGATGTTTCTTTGAATGTTGTTTCTTTGAAGGCTGAAGGCCCTATAAAACAATCTTGAACTTCATCGCAATCCTTTAAACAAACATTACTTTCAGGCTAAGAACGGTATCGTACCCGAAAAGAAGATGGTAACTCCTGCAGATCGATTAGCACAATTAGAGAAGACTCGCGAAGCAGCGAAGGTTGCCTGATTCTAGAACGAGAGTCACAGAAAGATCGAGTAAGTAACTCTTTGATTATTATTAAAAAAATCAAAACCTTCCATTGATCAAATTTCCACTCACTACAATGATGGCTGGGTGATTATACAAGTTAATCACAAAAATTGTATCATTCAACAGTACGCTCATTATTTGGAAAATATGTTTGTTCCTACAGGGTGATTCTTAATTACGTGGAGGCCCAAACAAACATTTTTTTCAAATTGAAAGACCTACATTTTTTTCAAATTGTTGAACTATTAGACAATCTATCAAAAAAACACTCAACTTTGACAACTCGTACCTCCGCAACTGTTATAGCTAGAGACCTGAATTTTTCATAAAAAACAATTTTATGATCCTATAATTTCTCCCTATCTACCTACTTTCTAATATTTTTAAGAGTTTATACATGGAGGTCAAGAAGGCCAAATGAACTATTTCTCAAAATTTTCAAATGGAACTCCCTGTATATTTTCACAATTTTTGTTTCCCTTTTTAACACGTTTTTCCTGAAGGCTATGTATATATTATATATAATGAAAATACACAAATTTTAACCATCTGCCTTTAGTAACTGGACGCTGTTTTTATTTTGGAAGGTAGTATTTTTGTATACCATGAGATCCGATTTACAAAAAGGTTAACTGAAACTCAAAAACTATGCGTACAACTCCCATAAACCTTATATCGAAAAAAAAGCTTGAGAAAAGGGAAATCAAATGATGTTAAAATGTTCAGGGTATGCCACTTGAACATTTTGAGATATAAAAAAAAGGGATCATCAAATTATTCTGAAGAAAAATTCAGTAGTCCAGCTATAATAGTTGCGAAGATGCGAGCTGTCAAAGTTGGGAGTATTTTGAGATTGTCCAATATCTAAACAACTTGAAATAAGAACCTATAGTATTACATCCAGTAGATCCATTTAAAGTATAATGTTTAATAAATAAAATTTTGACACATGTTTAGGAAAAACACTATAGTCTAACAGTTCATTTGTCCACAGGTACTACTTCATCGGCAGCGTTTAAACCCAAAAGAGCACCGTTAATGGACAAGACGTTATCTTTTATGAAGAATCGTTTCAAAAGATGAATGCCCACTCTTGAATCTGACCATACGAAATGTACATTGAAAAATACTTAAATTATTGTTTTCAGTTAAGTGACTATGTAATTCTGGGTGATGAATTTATACAAAAACAACAGAATATTTAATTATGCTGATGTACACGTATAATTATAATTTTAGTGTGGATAGTTTTTAGTGTGTATAGTCGTTGAAAAAATCTTATTTATTTATGTTTGAACTGAATACAATTATGAAATAATGTCTGCCTTTTATTTCCCCGACTACGATCTGTTCACAGTTTCTAAACTGGACAGCTGTTTTGTGCTATGCAGCATGGTGTAGACTTGGTCTCGGTCAAGGGGGGATTCAGGATTTCGTCTAGGGGGGAGGCAAACGATATTTGGGGCTGGTCATTTTTTAACCTCAGTGGAACTTCTAGAATTTATCCTATTATTGCTTCTTAAATCCATTGTGTTCTATCTGGTCAAGGCCAGCTTGAAAAAAAAAACAGAAAATGCTCAGAAATTCTCAGAAAAGCAATATTTTATTATATGAAAGCAAAATAAGTACGTGGCATGTATAATTAACTAGTGTAATAATATTAAAGATTCAAACATAAAAAACTTCATTGCTGATAACAAAAAAAAAAACATTATTAGGAGGTAGGTCACTTATGGACAGTTCGTCTTGGGAGAGGGGGATGCTATCGAGTAAGGAAAGTTTGTGTCACCTCGCCCACATCATTGTTAATGCCTTTGTGGTAACTAAAGGCTATAAATTAACCCCCTCTAACTTTTTTATATTATCTTCTAGAAGAAAAAGTTGTACATAGAGGTTATAGTGTCTAATATGGAGCTGCTCATGTAATAATTTTTATACCGAAGCAGGCGCGCAGGCAGAAGCCGAAATGCTGGGGCTGCTCTGGGCAACCCTAAAAAATTTTATTCACGCGATTTTCTAACTGCCTAAGGTTAGTAGAAGTGGGAAAAGCTTCCACCTGTACATTCTTTCATAATCTTGACACCCTCGGGACAAAGACCCGGTCGTATAGGTCTGAATGTACTAAGTTCAACGCAGTTAGGATGGAAGGCCGAAGTCAGGCGGGTCTGTCTGGCAGGCACATCGCGGAGCGGTACCATGGAGAAGAGCTCTGAGATCGCCGACGGACCACCGGTGCGAAAAGGCCCGGAGACTAGTGACCGGGTTTTCCACAAAAGTGCAATCGAATAAAGTTGTATTTTTTCTTATGTATGTTTTTAGTGTAAACGATAGTCCCATAGTCTGATTCCAAGCAGGATGAAAAAGAGTATAACACGCTTTTTAGATTAGATATATATATATATATTATTAGAGCAGCATGGTACAGAAGACCAACTTGAAGTTAAATTTAAACAGAAGTATTCCTGCATCCTTCAAAATTACAGCTTTTCACAGCAGCATAATGTGGCAAAAGGTATAATTGAAAAAACTGCTCGGTTGGGAATTTACAAATATGTAAAGAGAAATTCTTTGAAAAAGAGTTGTGAGACTACTAATAGTCATATATCAAAAAATAAGAAATTCAAGACAGCTAAAGTCAGGTAATGCTTTTTTATGCAGTCCAGCACTCTTCATTCATTGAATTTTCTATTTACTTTCAGTAACCAAATACTACTGTGATATACCTAAACAATATTTTTTGTTTCATAGTTGCAGCATCCTTGAGAGGAAGCAGTTGGACGAAGAATAATTATTTATTTTGTTACTCCCTGTAATGTTATAGCCATCAGGAGCTTTCGGTTTTAAGTATGAGGAATGCCTTGTTTATTTTTAAGTTTGATTTCTTCTTTGAAGAAAATTTTCCTCATTTTTAGATCATAAAAAATAATGTATCAGATTATAATTTTATTTCAGTTATTTATTTAACTACAGAGATTTATTTTTTGTTTTTTGATAAATATACCTCGTGATGGATTAACAATAGGTAGTGCTTGCTTAACACGTCCTTTGATTACTGAGGGTCCATTTTTCTCTTTTTTATGCTACTAGTGTACGATTTGCATTTTTTTTAAACCACTTATTCACTTAATGATATAGAGAAAGCTCCAGATGTCTACAAATACGCTTATATATTATCAATGTACTGTGATGATAAATTATTACTTATTATTATTCATATACATAAATATATAAATAAATATTTTATCAATTACGCATTTATTTTTTATTATCCCAAAATTGGTTACCAGCAAAACTGCTGAATCAGGTATTCCTGTATTGAAGATATTTTATGCGTCTATTTTCATAAAATATTTCTTCAATATGGGAAATATCACTTTCAGCAGCTTTTAAATTGTAAACAAATTAATCCTCCGCACAGTCCTAGCATTCCTAATCTCCCGGCGCATTCTTAGAATTCCTTTGATAGTTACTCCAGATCTCCAGGCAAGTAGGCGGCGCAACCATCTGACAAAACGTCAACGGTGTTGCCGTTGTTTAACGTGCAGCTCCCACTTCTTCAGTTTTGTGTAATGTCCCATGAATGCGTAAAATGTTGTAGATTCATCTTTTATAGTATTATTCGTTGATATGTAATTACAAGGATTTGAGATCAAATGGTTCTTTCTAATAAAATCCTAACTTATCCTCCACCTTTAATGACGTCATCATAATAATTTGATTTATTATTATTATATAAATAGAATTATTGTCGAACAATTGATTTTCATAGGTAATAAGGAAGTTAGAAAACTTGTGCAATCCTTATTTTTCGATCGTAAAAAGCTTTGAAAAATGGTTCACTGTATTAAAGTCTGATTAGACAAACGATTTCCTTTTTTATATTTTATATCGGTAAACATAGCAGACAGTACAAAAATCCCACGAATATAAGAATGTGAGAGACAAATCAAATTCAAGCGGATAACCAAATGGAAATGGTATTTACCATTTTGGGTTGGTATTTACCAATCCGTTCAAGCGAGTGTAGTTATCAGTTTGGTTATAAGATCCGTGACGTCACGAATCAGCTGTTATATGTCATAGTTATCACCGCAAAATTGTGGTATTTACCCAACTCAAGGGTAGTTTTATATTTCTGGTTATTATTTGAAATGTGACAAGTTAGAATTTTGCCGGGTATTGGATATTGTTATTGTACTTCAGCTTCATTTTTGAGAAAAATGATACAGGCTGACTCCACTTTTACCATAAAGTGGAGCACCTTATAAGTTATACTCATTACGGTTGTTGGGGACACTTTAAATGTAGTTCATATGCTTAACAAAGTATCCTGTGTAGCCATATACCACAAAGAATATTAAAATATGGCCATATAAACTCACTAGATGATATCCACCTGTATACGGTTTTGCTAATTTCTTTTTTCATCATTTCTGCTGAATCAATAAATGTTTTCTTTGACATGCGGAAAATTTAGAGAATTGAAAGTTGTCATAGCTACAAAGCCATGGTTCCATCATTAAAAAAAAAATCTGAAAGAACATTTCTCCCATGAATATTATGAAAGGTTTCTTATTTAAACTTTCCATATACAGTTGTAGACGAAAAAGCACCGATTATTAAGTGATAATAAAAATAATCAGAGATTATATACGCGCTTTTCTAAAATAAACAACATGCAACAAAACCGCGGTTAAAACCAACGCGTTCAAGCGATTCGTGTAACTGACGTCATCAACCCGTGTGTCATCTTGAACCATATTATAACCGCGGCACATAACACAGAAATTTTGGTTATTCGCTTGGATTTGATTAAATTTTTACTTTTTCTCTAGCAACATTGTCACTTCATATTCCAGCGATAGAGGTGTGTTCCAAAACAGTCGAATTCGGTTCGCAACCCTACCGCGTCCGCGTTGTATCGTTTTAGTTAGTTCGTGGCCGAATTCAACTGTTGCTGGAACACACCTGCTATGGACCTAGCATTTCACATCACTTTATTAAACGAGAAATTTCTACACTAAACGCTTCGATAAAATATGTTTGTGTCTGCAAGTCACTGATGAGTGCAAGTCAGTCATGTGTCGTTTGCGTACAAGTCGTTGAAAATGAACGAGTCGTTTAAAATGAACGACTCATCTATGTGAGCGATGATTGAACGACTCTTTTGTTACATATGACTCGTTCAATTGTTCAAAGCGTGTCTGACGTCTGCAGTATCCAGCAACTGAACTGCGACAACTGACAACAGACACAATCTAGGGAACCCGGTTGTTTTATTTTGAGATGTCTCATTAAATTATACGTTGAAACATGATTGAAAACCGAACAACATATCCCTTCTTTTTTCGGAAGACTGTAAACATTCCTTACATTCAATTTCAACCAAAAATACAACAACATCGGCAACCCTAACCATTCATTTCATTTTCATAGTGTGATGTATATTCTGACTCAGTGAGTCGTAACTATAGGCAACACCATACTCTCGTCAGCTTCGAGGCCGGTCGGTAATAATTATATCGTTCAAATGAACGACTCCGAACGAACGACTCACTGAAGAGAGATGAACGAAATGAACCAGCTCAGAGAAAAGAGTCGTATGTCTCAGACCTAGTGCAAGTAGGTGCAATCACAACCTACAAATGTCAAGTTTGATTGTTTGTTAACAATGCACGTGGGGCCTGAGATGTCACGTGGACGTTAACGTTACGCGGAAGGGTCGAGGGTAAATATCGATATGGACACAGCAGAAAGAATAACGGTTCATCAAAAGAACTATTCGACAGTCGACGCCACTACTCCCATCACCATTTATTCATATTTTGATTTAAATTGAAAAAGTTTGTGTAAACACTTTTATCAAAATGATACTCACAAAAATACATTTTTGAATCTGTAGATAAATTATGAGCATAATCCCTCTTTGCGCAACTATTTCCGGATTTTTTCATTATATGGAACATACATAAATAGTTTGTTTGGCGTTTTTATAGTTGTGCTTTTATATCGGGGAACTATACAGTACTTAAAATACCAGGAATTCATGTTTAAAGAAGACGAACAAAACTAATTATTGTTTGTACACATAAATCAAATTCAAGCGGATAACCAAATGGAAATGGTATTTACCATTTTGGGTTGGTATTTACCAATCCGTTCAAGCGAGTGTAGTTATCAGTTTGGTTATAAGATCCGTGACGTCACGAATCAGCTGTTATATGTCATAGTTATCACCGCAAAATTGTGGTATTTACCCAACTCAAGAGTAGTTTTATATTTCTGGTTATTATTTGAAATGTGACAAGTTAGAATTTTGCCGGGTATTGGATATTGTTATTGTACTTCAGCTTCATTTTTGAGAAAAACGATACAGGCTGACTTCAGTTTTACCATAAAGTGGAGCACCTTATTAGTTATACTCATTACGGTTGTTGGGGATACTTTAAATGTAGTTCCTATGCTTAACAAAGTATCCTGTGTAGCCATATACCACAAGAATATTAAAATATGGCCATATAAATTCACTAGATGATATCCACCTGTATACGGTTTTGCTAATTTCTTTTTTCATCATTTCTGCTGAATCAATAAATGTTTTCTTTGACATGCGGAAAAATTTAGAGAATTGAAAGTTATCATAGCTACAAAGCCATGGTTAGATCATTAAAAAAAAAAATCTGAAAAAAACATTTCTCCATGAATATTATGAAAGGTTTCTTATTTAAACTTTCCATATACAGTTGTAGACGAAAAAGCACCGATTATTAAGTGATAATAAAATAATCAGAGATTATATACGCGCTTTTCTAAAATAAACAACTTGCAACAAAACCGCGGTTAAAACCAACGCGTTCAAGCGATTCGTGTAACTGACGTCATCAACCCGTGTGTCATCTTGAACCATATTATAACCGCGGCACATAACACAGAAATTTTGGTTATTCGCTTGGATTTGATTATAGAGTAGATTTTTATTTGGCACAGCCTGACGTCATTGAAGTCGCCAAGTCGCCATGATAGTCTGTTCGTCTTAAACGTTTTTGAGGGAAATTTAAATCGATTTTTAAAAACCCAAAATTCATGTAACTGTTAGATTTGAAGGAATAATATGTTTTTTGGTTTATATTGACATTGAGGCTCATATAGGCATTGGGTATCAAAGAATTTTTCATATTTCGTCAACTTGTCTAGTTATTTCTACTGATTATAGATGTTTATTTTCTGAAATGTGAAAAGTAACCTTTATAAATTCATTAATGACAATTTGAAACTTCCGCGAAAACGCTACCAATCGCGTTAGAGCATACATTTCTAGGCGACCGCTGATTTGTCGAAAACTGACCGCCATATTGAAATTTTGCCCCTTCCCTGACAGAAAATGGTTGAATTTTTCCTTCCCCCTTGGTATGTCATGTCTGTGTGTTATTCCTATCGTAGTTATTAATTAGGATAGTTCTTAACGTTAGATTTAAATTAATTTTAAGCTTAGTGTAAGAAGTCCTAAATGGTAATGGAAGAGTACGAATACGGGTACGTATAAGCACATTTTTTATCATTTAAAACTGCGGTGGCGCCGGAATCACATTTACGTGAAATTGACGGAAGTCGCGAGCTGCCATTGTAGCTTGGTTGCTCGGTGTCTGGTACGTGGTATGGTGAGTGGTGAATGTGGAAAGTTTTGCTTGTGCTCCAGGTTTACGGAATAGCATGCGAATGTTGAGATTAAAGCAGGAAATTATGGACGATGATGAAAAAGGGTATTTATATTTCATAGATCCTACAATCGTACATTTTACAGAATCATTATTAGGTCACGGTTGTGTTCATGCTTTGGATGTGTTTCGGTGGACTGTAAAATGGAATATTATCATTGTTATTCATCAAGATAAGTTATATAAAATGGATTATATACGTCCAGAGATGCCTATTTGGCCGAAATTTGTGGGTTACCGGTAAACTAATTTTCTTCCGTTCACCGACCTCAAATCTTCCAAACGGTCAAAGAACGGGATGGTCTGACCCGTTTAAAAGCATTTTTATCAACCAAATTGCTTCACAGTTGTATTGTATTTCATGATGTTGTGATTGTATCTGGTGAAATCAGGTGAAGAAATATAAAGGTGTATTTATCAATAAGATCAATATAACAATTCAGATTCTGGATAATAATCATGGAATACTTGATTCGATTTGTTTGTTTATTGAGAAAATATCTAATAATCTTAAATATACACGTTCAAGTTAGTGGAGTTGAATTACTGAGAGAGAACTAATAGTATTCTACTTACATCTCATTTAATACTTTCACTTTTAAGATTTAATTTCAGTAAAAACGGAAAGGTTTAGATAAATTCATGTATTTTCAGGTTATACCCCTTGCTGTTTAAATTGTCTTTACAATTGTATTTTCTTACATTTAATTAGAACCATTGATTAACATTTCTCTGCTCTATGGTGCCACCACATTCTAAGCTTGCTAGACGATTTGGTCAAGCTTTACCTTCAACTCCAACTATTGCTAATCTATTCTACCTGAAGATAGCCAGCCTGATGTATATTCCTGTGTCCAAAAAATCATATGAGCTAAAATGAGATACTGTAATAATGATATCTATATTTCTGACTGCGTTACAATATATTATCCTTATACAAAATGAAAATGCACCTACACAAAAAAAAATTGTGTCAACACAATTTGCACACATCACTAGGGCTTTTTCAGTCAGTGTCAGCCTATGAATAGGGTTATTATCTTAGGGCTGTATCATCAATTGTAGGATGCCTTTATGGCCTCCTTGATTGTCATACTCCTTTCTCTCCTTCAAAAATTTCTAGATTGCACCTGTTCTGTGTCAGCGTCAGCGCTCTCCTATTGTGAACATATGTTTTCTTTTTAAACTGTAGGAAATTTCAGGCCGATAAAACATGATACAAATCAAAAACATGCACAATTTGACGCAAATAGATATTTGTAACATTACCTCAAAATAGAGCGCTGACATGGAAAAGTAGAAAACTATGACAATGAAGGAGGCCATAAAGGCATTCTACAATTGTAAGAATGACTGACGATATGGGCCTAAGCTTTCAGTATTGTATTCATGACAAGTCAGTGAATTGAACCTATACTTTTAAAATAGTATATATATAAGGCAAAATTACTTTTAACTTATGTTTCCAGCATAGAGATTTTATACCTCCATAATTAACTAATTTATAAATTAAGCAGAAAACCATCTCGTTAGTATTAAGATTTGGAGACATTAAATAAAAGGATTAGCCCTGTTACACTTACTCTGAGGAATTATATTCTGATAGGTAAATATTAAAGATACAAAACAGGCTGGCCACCTATTTCATCTTTACCCTATAGCCGCATGCCCCAACTTGATGGGTGGTCCCCAGATGCCAAAAAATCAAAAGAAGCTTAAAAAAATGTCCACTCTCCCTCTTAAAATTCTCTCAATGGCTACAATGAGCCTCAGAATTTGATCTGTCTTGGGCCCTCATCAGCCATGGGTGCTAAGCTGCTGTAAGCGTCTAAGTGGCCCCTACATTACCTAAGACAGTGATGCAAGTATGCTATATCAGAAATTATGCAGGGCGCTAAGCGCTCTGTGGAATCGTGGTGCAGGGAAGTCGATCTTTCTGTTTAATGCTGGAAAGACTGAGCTGATCCTATTCACTAGGAGAAGAAGGCTTGACAGGCTGGTCATGCTGACCTTCTTTGGGACTAGATTAATTCTATCCCAATTGGTGAAATAGCTGGGAATTATACTGGATTGCAAACTGAACTGGAAAGATCATGTTGAATACAAGGTTAGCAAGGCTGGCAATTCAATGTGGGCCTGTAGACGTGTTGTCGGTGTAAGGTGGGGGCTTAAACCCAAAGTGGTATACTGGCTCTACACGACGATAGTACGTCCATCTCTCTTGTACGGCTCCCTGGTCCGGTAGCCTTGCATTAGAACTGAGACAACTAAGGCCAAACTCAATAAAATTCAGCATTTGGCCTGTATTAGCATTTCAAGCGCAGTGCGAACAATACCATTGAGTGCAATGAAAGCTCTGTTGGATCTCCCATCGTTGGATCTGGTGATCCGTGGTGAAGCGAGAGTAGTCGCTCATAGACTGTGTAGTCAGGGCAGCTGGGCTTTCTTGAATCCTGTCAAGGGACATACTGCCATCTTAGTCGAATTGCAAAGGGAGGACCCCGTCCTTCTAAGCAGGGGTGATCGGATTACCCCTAAATATAGCTTCAACCGCAAGTTTAATGTGGAGTATCCAACGAGGGAGGAGTGGGATGCCATTAATCGGAGACTCTTCGGAGTGAGCGGGCTGGTCTGGTATATGGGTGGCTCAGTCACTGAAGAGGACTCAGGTGCTGGGGTCTCTGGGCCTAGAACTAGGCTATCTCTGTCTCTCGGTGGATACCCCACTATTTTCCAGGTGCAAACCTTTGCGATTCTGGCTTGTGTATCTCACATTCTGGAGGAGGGTGGGCCTCGCAGCGAGGCATCCGGTATGTGGGTACCAGGGCACGCTAGGATAAGGGGCAATGAGACTCTGGCAAAGACACTATCAGCCAGCAAGCTCGTTGGTCCTGAGCCAGCTCTAGGAGTGACTGCTTATAGAGCTAGGAGGAAAATGGAGACGTGGGTTGCAAGACAACACTCAGAAATGGAGAAGTATCTCCAGACATCTCCGCCAGTCACAGGTACTCATTGAAGGGCCCAGTGCTAAGGATGGATGTTTCTGCCTATCTCTGGGTAGAGACAACCTAAGGTTGCTGGTGGGACTGTTGTCTGGCCATAACACGTTAAGGCGCTACCTGCATGTGACGGGGGTGGCTGAGGATCCCTTGTGTGAATGCTGCGAGGTAGTTGAAGTGACCTCTGCGCACGTTTTGTGTCGCTGTGAAGCTCTGAGCTACTATAGGCAGACTATACTAGGGTCCATTACTTTGGACCCTCAGGATGTCAAGGAGCTTGGACTCAAGGCGATTCTCAACTTCGCTAAAAGGGCGAGGCTTGTGATCTAAGGAATGTACAGGTGCATAAGGGCCCGCTTAAGCGGCCTATGCACTGGCTCCTTATGGTGGCTGGAATGCCTCTAATTTCAAGATTCATTCATTCATGCTGCCTGAACTCATAATATTTTCCATACCATCTCTGTGGATCATTAAAACTTTGCATTACAATTTTTTTACTTGCCTTCAAGGTGGCTTTCACTGGGTATTTCAGTAAGAAAAAATTTCAAAATGACTAGTACTTTTTCTAAAGGCCAGGTATCAGATACTTGCTACCTGCCATTAGTGATTTTAATATAATTGTATTTCTGAAAGGTTAGCTCATTCTTAAAAAATTCATTTGGTTTTCCTATAAATTAATGCTCTACAGTTGTGCACTTTGGACAATGTTTTGTGACTAAACCAGATTGGTGTATTTACCATATTTTTACGAAGTTTTGATCTTTCAAATATATAGTCATGCAACAGCTGGTCATACTTTTTTCACTTTGGACTTCAGCAGCTACAAGATTGGGTTAAAAAAGAAATAATGTTATTACATTTTAGAAACAATATTTACTAAATAAGCTTGGTCCAAGCCATCATGTACAAGATGTTTCAAAGACAATATGAGTGTGATGCATCATAGTGTCTTCTAACACTTCTTTGATTGAGACACTTGACATAGAAGTGGATTTATTGGTTTCTATTTAATATTCAATAATCAACAAGCTTTTCTGTTTGGCTCTGTTGCTAATGCCATGAATATTGCTGGTGATCTAAAATGATTAACACTGAAGCTCAAGACCTTGATATGCCTAACAATGTTATAGAGATACTTTTACAGTTGTTTCATTTTGAGCCTCGCGTAGGACGTGCACAGCCGACTTTATGAAAGCGTTTGCTGTCATCGGGTATTCAGTTTTTCACGGTGGATAAATTTAGGTCAAATGAAAATAAAATTGAACGACTGATCAGTGCTTTTGTAACGAAAATATTTTGTGTGCTTCAGTTTATCCACAGGCAATTTATATCTTTCGTAACTTGATTGCAAAAAACGCAAAAATGGTTTTGGTTTTGTGTGACTTTGGTTATTCATTCAATATATCATTCAGTAAATACTTCAGTATGGGAGTTTGGTGGAAAGTCCTATGTCTATTGGTGGAAAATGCTTGAATTAATGCACATTTGATAAATCTTAGAGTCCCGGGTAATGCGCAGAGTCGGTATTTTTTTTTATTTCACAATAAGTAATATTTAGATCTACACGAGAATGATGGTAGATTCTAGAAAAAATATGTTATCAAATACTGTTGATCAAAAAAAATATTCTATAGGAAGAATATGATAATTGGAAAACAAAATAAAATGAAAAATAAAAGCTGTGATAACTAGAAGCAGCATGTGATAGTCAAATTAGATACAAGTTACAAAGGTTACAATCACTTACACTTAGCTGCCTTGAGTTAGTGCTGCATAAAGTATGGCTTGGCTAATTTGCTGAATTTTGCTTGCTATCAACTTAAATCTGCTGACAACTTGCCCAGTGCAACATGACCTATTTCACATATGTGACATCAGTCAGTTGACCATATTAATTTAGGGTGTGTTTTTCAACAACTATTTCTCTGAAATATTTTTGATAAAACACCAGATTTTTTTACATTAATTTTTCTGCCTATCTATTTGTCTTAAGAAAGTGGTCGTTCATGAAAAACGCGATGGAACCTATAAAAGTTGTACTATCAAGATATGGGTTATCCTCATTTTTGAGCATCAAATGACTGGTTAATGATTTTGGACATAATGTCAAGCCACTTGATTAAACTGATCACATTTGGTTGGCTCATTGAAACCAAACCCAGCAATTGCTTGGAAATACATGATCCATTTTAAACTCACTACTTTTTTACTATTGAGTGTTATGCCTTTTATACACAATGTTACCAACATCTCTGATACCTGACAACTTTAACGTCCTAGATGACATTTTAAATACATATAAATTTCTCTGGGGGTATCATAACCAACAAAGAATTTGCAATAGTTGAGCAAAATATTGAAGTCGTCGTATACGCGAGGCTCTGTCTGAAAATTTGATGAACACTTTGAACAATGTATTTTACATTTCAAAAGCATGATTCACTACCTTGAACCACATTCTCAGCTCACTATCACTATTACCAATCCACATTAGGCACCTTTCCAATTTGTCACTGGTATTGCCTATCTAAGCAGTAAGGAACAATAGATTTTTCCCACCCTAAAACCGACAAGTTATTATTTATTTATACAGCAACAACTGTCGGTGACTTTCTGATTTTTGACCAGAAAGATGTTGTTTTATCGGTAATTTTGGTCTAGGTCATGATTTGTTGCTAACTGGCAGCAAACCAGCTGAATGAAGAGATCATAACTGTACTGACCTCATCGCACTAACAAATTGGGAAGGTGGATTATTTTGCACGATACTTTATCACTAAGAAATTACAGTTGATTATCTAGTGACATCCAAACACCCAACATAGTCAAGTGACACATAACTTGACGGATCTGAGTCGTATTAATGCGGGATTCGCAAGGTATTTCAGGTTACGGGAAATTTGAATTTGAGACTGAAGTTATCTGTGCAATTATTAACAAAAGTGTTTGTAATTCAAATTTTTTCTTACCTTAAATAACTTTGTTGTACAAATGCTGATTCATATTCCTTAATAATGCTTTTATGTCATTTGTTGCATTTATCTAAGTTTACTTTGCATATTTTATTGTCAAAATTCCCAGTATTTCCATTCAGTAAAAGTACGTATGTGGAAATAAATTTTCATTGGTGGTCAGTATAAATAGTTCTGAGTACAGCCCTGAGTTTCGTGAGATTCATTATTTATTATTCATCAATTTTCTCTCAAAAAGACTTTTTGAAGAGCGGAGGAAAACTTTTCTGTGGGAAAGGGGAGAAATTCAAAAACTCTCCAAAATTGTACAAAAAATCGCGCTAAATACGCAAATCTGAGGACCAACCAGATTCTCAAGGTGCCAGATCCCCAACTGCCCATGATATTTAATATGAAGATATCATCAGTTGTTTATCCCATTTTCTGTCAAACCGTGATACAAAGTATTGTGAAAAATGATTACCTTAAGTCAGGGTTCACATGGTATTGATATTAGGTAATTTCAAACTGACATAATAAATTAAATCGTGTAATCTTGCACGCAAGGTCGCAAAAGCTAGAAGCAGAAGTTCAAAAAGTATTGGCACACTTTTTTTTTTTGCTGATAATAAATTTATTTGAAAACTAACATTTAAATAGTCAGTTTTTATGGCAATAGATTGAGCAAATTAAGAGTAATAAGAATTATGAAGTTCAAGGGTCAAAAAAATATTGGTACACACAAAAAAGAACAAACAAGTAAATTTTTCGGGCCTTGAGGTCCAGCAAGTTTTTAATCGAACTGGATTCCGGGGATTGCGGTGGAGTCTTGAGTTGTGCAGGAACTTTTTAAAGTAGCCATTCCTTTGTCCTAATAGCAGTCTACTTGTCAACATACTTGTCTGCATTCATAGTGCTTTTGAGTCTTAGCCTTCCAACACCATTCCATGACATGCAACTCCAAAGTAAAATGCTCCCACTACCATGTTTCACTGGTACATCTCTTTTTAAATTAAATATTAGTTTTTCTATACATATTTAAGACCATCAGAGATGAAATCTTTAAGATTAAAGTAAGATCAAGATTTTGCCTCTGATGGTCGCAAATATTATGGAGAAAACCTAAGACTTATTTTGTTAAAATTTAATTACTTGTTTTTTTTAATAATAATACATAATTCCTATTATTATTATTATTTTTAATTTGCTTAATCTATCGCCATAAAAAATCTGTGATTTTTATTTTCATGTTTCTTTGTCTTAGTATTTTTTATTATCGATTTGCAGTAGATCGTGTTGCAAATATGCGCTTATATAAAAATACTTGAGTTAAATATTCGAAAATGAAATTTTGGTCTAAAGCCAAATTTGCGAATTTTGGGCTTTCGAAAAAAACAATCACGCACAACAATAAAAAAATGTCGAACAAAGCTTGAAATATGGTTCTAAATTATTTAAATGCAAATATTTCATGAACGCAACAGGCTCGAAATTTTAGTAATTTTTTATTTTAACCTCAATACCCTGCGAACACCTCAAGTGGACAATAGACGAGCATATACGTAAACAGAAAGTGAGTTACATTAACTATTTGCTTTCCGTGTACTTACAGGAAGCTGTTTGTCGGAGGACTATCATGGGAGACGACGCAGGACAACTTGCAGCGGTACTTCAGCCGGTACGGCGAAGTGATCGACTGCGTGGTGATGAAGAATGCCGAATCGGGAAGATCGAGAGGGTTCGGGTTCGTCACCTTCGCAGATCCGGCAAACGTCAATATCGTGCTGCAAAACGGACCGCATACCCTGGACGGAAGGTAAATGAACATGCGAAGAAGTTTTTTGTGCGAAGAGAGGTATTCATCTCGACTCTCACTTAAGTTGTTTCCAACATAATCTGGTAAGAAAGCTAAGAACGCTCTGACCAGTTTTAAAACAGCTGAGAAAATTCTTTGATACTGGTCAGCTTCGCTCAGACTATCATGCTTTAGTATATAATAGCATGGAGTGGAGTCACTAACTTATATTTAAAACCTCAAGCCCCAAAGTAATGAATAATTAATTTGATTCTATTGATCAATTATGTTCTGAATCCAAAATTTTTGGTATTTGTGAAATATATCTACCCGCACTCTTACAAGACCAACAAACCCACTCACACAAAGATCTGTGTCTCGCATGAGTATAATGCAAGGCTGAAAATGAACAACATTGAAATTCCCCGGGCTCACAAAACCAGCACCTAGAGCTTATGCATATATTCTGGAAAGCTTAAATGCACTGGAATCAAAAAAGCATTCAAAAACAGTGGATCCTGTCAATGCCTCAACATTTTTCAGCACAGCTTGTTGATTAAAAAAATGGTTTTAGTTTAATCAGTTCCATTATGTAGACATCTGTATTCTTCATGTTTTTTATTATGTACATTTATTTTCAAATTAAACTCGAAATCGGACACTTATTTTAAAAACACCTATCACACTTTCCAGGTAAATTTCCAGGTGGTTAAACTGATTATCTTTTCTTTCCAGAACGATTGACCCCAAGCCTTGTAATCCCAGGACACTGCAAAAACCGAAAAAGGGTGGTGGTTATCCCAAGGTGTTTTTGGGAGGATTGCCATCAAACGTGACAGAAACCGACTTAAGAAGCTTCTTCACTCGCTTTGGCAAAGTTATGGAAGTGGTCATCATGTATGACCAGGAGAAGAAAAAATCTAGAGGTGAGCATTAAGTGTTAATGTTCTCCTTATATTTCTTATCGCACAAATATTTCATTATATTTACTGGACAGCAAAGAACAGGACTGAATAGTGAAAAATTGTAACACTCGTACATATATCAGTGCACAATTTGTTGTTTTCATTACAGGTTTTGGATTCTTGTCGTTTGAAGATGAAGACGCCGTAGATAGATGTGTTTCTGAACATTTTGTTAATTTGAATGGAAAACAGGTATGTTATTTTACTTTTCTTCAACCTGTCATTTTTCATGATTCGAATGCTCAAGTTTTTGAGAATGACAGGCAAAATGAGAGAACACATTCCTACCTCCAAGCGAAAAGCATGTAGTAGTCCAGATGGTGACTGACAAACATTCTAGAGCAAATCGAAAATATCCAACTTCTTACTATAAAATGCAAAATTTGGGTGTAACACGGACGGAGATACCATACATTTTCAAGAACGCCTCTATTCACTATTTAATAGTACTTCAAGGTAGCATTATGGATGGTAAAGCTATGGTAGAGCATACTGTTTTATAAGCATGTTTTTCATTTTTCACTCAAAAGGATTTTTTAAATTATGAGATAATATACACTGCATGTTACTGTCTTTATTATTAATTATTATTTTTATGGTGGAATTTACTATCCCCACCACTACATCACCATCACTATCAAGATTATTTATTTGTTAATTTCTGCTGTTGCCAAATTTCTTACCGTTATATTATTTTCCATTGTTAAGGCCTGTACTGTTCGGGAGGTTATCTAACTTTCAGTAAAAATTCGGAGAATAACTACTTACCAAAATATTAATTTTACCCAAATATGGATATGCAATTTCAAGTTTGCGGGAAATGTATTAGCAGAGGTATACAGTTCAATGGAAATTGATGGTTATCATGTTACTGTAGAGTATGTTCAGTCAGGTGAGCCAGATCTTAAATGGTATTCAGAACATGTGCGTGAGAGCCAATGCTTGCTTCAAATTGTAAAATGTGCCAAAATCTTTCCATAAGCATTGGGAGGGTGGCTTACTTTTGCTGACGAGGGGAGGGGGTTAATAGCTGTAAAAAATTTGGTTATATCTTGAAGATATATTCTGAACTTTGAGAACTGAACTTGTTTGGATTTTGCTTTGTTACTGTAAACTTCTGTTTATTTCAGGTGGAGATTAAGAAAGCTGAGCCACGGGACGGCAGTGGCGGAAACAAGATGGGCGGTTCTGATCCGTCTTCGGCGTGGGGCCCGCCGCAGGCCCCCATGGGCATGATGCAGGGCCCCAACGGGCAGATGGGAGGACCTCCGATGAATTTGGGCGCGCCCATGGGACCTAACATGATGCAGGTATGCTTTTTTGCAAAATGAAAATAGATTTGGTAGCGCGGCTGAACTCAAATTTGTTTTGCAGTATGTATTTTGATGGAATTTTTTTATGGAACAGGAAGCATACTGTCTTGACCCTTGACTCCAGAAAGCAGTAATACTATGCTCAGTCCAAGTTTCATTACTATTTATTGATGAAAATTGAAGAAAGTACATGATGTTCATAAATAGTTTGGGGTTTTCACAGTTTGATTCCGGAAACACAGAATACCACTCAAAAAGCTAATGGGGAATAGCTTTTGAATGTTTTGTTTAAATTCAGTATATTGAAGATCTTAACAACCAGAACGAGTGCCCAAACTAAAGGGTGGGCCATCTAGTGGTTTCTTTTTGAATCATAGGTTATGTCGACACTGACAGTGCTCTCTTGTTCGAGAAATTCGCCAGTATCATCTCTCCGCGGCATAGACTCAGTCGTTGTACGCTTGAACAACGTTGGGAAATATTGAAATTTATTTCCAAAGTCAGTGCAGTGTAGCTCAAACAGTACGAATTTTGCAAAAAAATTTTGGCCGAGACAATACTCTCCAGTCCACGTACTTGTACGGTGCGCACAGTCGACACCTCAACATTAGTCGCACTAGCCCGAGGAGAATTTTACACAGTTACCTTGGATTAATCGCTTACAAGATCCAATTGACCCAAGAATTAAACTTCCAAGACCATTTGCTATGGTATCGTTTCCCAGTTTGGGCCTTAGAACAGCTCTTTTTTTTATACTCCAACTACCACGAAGGCCTAACGCCTAAGCACCCATTGGGTACCGTGGGGCTATAGGGGGATACATGGGAAAGGGGGAACGCCACACGGACTCTGGCGATGGAACACGTGTGCATGCAACATGCACACATTCTGGCTCCGCCTACGAGATCCGCCGGGTGGTACCTCCGCGTTCGACAGTCAGAGACCGTCTACCACCTACGGACAATCACAACATCCTTAGCCAAGAGAAAAATTTCACCTGGGACGGGACTCGAACCCGCACAGCGCACGGCGACTGATCAGGAGACCGAAGAGTCTACCACTGCGGCCACCGCTGCTGCCTGATGATTTTGCCCGAAAAATCGTCTTTTCCGATGAGGCGCATTTTCAACTTGGCTGATATATAAATAAGCAAAACTGCCGCATCTGGATCTCGGAAAACCCGCACGTGATCGTCAAGAAGAAGAGGCAGTTTGCTGCGGATTGTGGAGTGGTGGCATCGTTGGGCCATTTTACTTCGAGAATAAGCTATTGATAACATGGCCAGACACGGCCATTGGTTTCAACAAGAAGGAGCCACATGTCATACATCCAATCAAATGATCGATCAGTTGCACACCAAATTTGGTAATCGTGTAATCAGCCGTCGGAGCTACGACTTAACGTCGTTGGACTTCTTTTTCTGGGGCACCGTAAAAGATCAAAACGATTCACGCCCTTAAGTTGGACATTCAACGAGCCATTCGTCAGATACAGCCCGAAACTGTCAACAACGTCTTGAAGAATTGGATCGACAGGATTCGCTACTACGAAGTAGCCGAGAGAGCCATATGAATGAAATCGTGTTCCATAAATAACGGGAATGTTTCTGCTTTCCAATAAAGCCAAATACTTGAAAAATTTGATTTTTATTAATTTTATTGTTTTATAAAAAAACTTCTATTTGGTCCACCCTTTATTGCCACAAGTAGTTTCCGAGATGTAGGGCATTCAAGTTGATCAAAATCCATACTCTATTAAAACATACTGTGTGTTTTGTAACTGATATGTAATAGCTATTTTATATTTTTTTACCTTCATATAGTGTTACTTGATTATAGCAAGGTTTTCGATACCATAGACCATGATATACTTTGCACTAAATTAAAATACTTTGGCTTCAGCGGATCCGCTGTTCAACTTATAAAAAGTTTTCTGATAGAAAGATACCAATATGTATCAATTTATTTGAACGATTCCAATAAATGTCCGATAACAATGGGAGTACCTCAAGGGTCCATTCTCAGTCCTTTATTATTCTCTCATATTTCAGATTTTTCTAACAATATAAAATACTGTAATGATCAAACACTACAACAATCTACCAATCTACCTCACCTTACCCAAAATATGTATTTGTGATAGAATCGAATAAAGGAATGCTATTATTATTATTATTATCCCTACAGGTCGGTTCAGCAACACGGCAATTTTAATATGTACAGAGTGGCTCAAACTTGCTTGGGGGGATTAGGGTTCAGAAACGCAATTTCCATTAAAAACAGGATTAACCTGTACTCTTCCTGTGGGAGTTCATTTCAAAAATGTACCTTGTATATACGACAGAAACGCAATGCTGGTGTACCAGCTAGCAGGGATGATAATAACCTAAAATAATATCAAGTAACTACTACAGATGGTGTACCAACTTGGCCGCCCTGTATCGCGGAAACTCTCAATCCAAAAGCACTGGAAAGCGGCAGGTGTGACATGTCTGAAATGACAAAATTGGTGCAATGAACTAAGTTTTAAGCGTAGTTCACCCTCTTGTTTCACTCTGTATTTGATGAACGTTTTGTTTCAGGGGTACCAAGGTTGGGGCACCTCCGCCGGCCAGCAATCGTACGCGGGCTACGGCACTCCAACGGCTGCTGCGGCGCCCGGTTCCTACCAAGGATGGGGCGCTCCGGCACCCGCCCCTCAGGGGCCGCCCCCGCCGCCACATCAGTGGGGTAGCAACTACGGAGGACCACCACCACCACACCAACAGCAAGGATATGGACAGTATGGAGAGTATGGTATGTGGAAATATATAATGTAGTCCCTTCATTTTCTTGAAAAACGTACGTCACTCTTGTCTTTGCGTGCGTTTCCATCTGCCTCCAGGATTCAATCTGGTCTTTCTCTGCTTCTGTGTACTTGGGGTTGCCTATTCGTAATATAAACGATCGAGTTCCAATTTTCTGTCTTATTTTATTTCCTACTTTTTGCAAAGTCCTTCATTATTGTTCTTCAGGGTCGTTATGTTTTAATCAAAATGAACAAGTGTTTTAAACACTGTTTAAAACAATGATGGTGTTTTAATTTTAAACCAATTTGTTTTAAACCGTTTTTTTTATATTTTTTTAAGTATGATCAAAATTGATTTTATTTTGCGAAACGAAACTAAAAGGGCCATCGGTTAAAACACATAGGTACTAAAAAATATACTTTATTTTTCATTAATTAATCAAACATGAAACTAGGGAACAAATACTAGTGGAAAAAATCTGTTTCTTAACGAACGAGTGAACTTAATAATCATATGACTATTTATTTACTTGTATAATAACATTAAATAAGTTACTTAACAAATTTCTATAAAAGTATACAGCCCCATTTATTTAACAAAAAATCCTTAAATCCATATTTTTATAATATAAATGTACATAGAATAAATTTTTAGTTTTCACTACTTTTTCGGAACTCCAATTAAAAAAATGTACCTTTTTCACAATTCTCCAAGCTACTTAACTTTGAGGAAATAGGTTTGGTAGAAACATCATTGTCGGTATCAGAACTATCTGATATATATTTTGTTATTCTAACAAACTTCCTTGTTTAAGTTGTTTACAATTTTAAATATGCTTGCGCATTCTAGCCACCATTGGCACTATATCCATATTGCAGGTTGAACATTTTGAAATTTTATTTATTTTCGAGACAGCTTTGGCATCAGTCTCCTTAAAATATTTCCACACGGGATCCTTTCTCCTCCTTGTCATTGCCATTCTTTTTTTGCCGATCTTTAATGCACGAAAAATAAAACACACCACACCAGGCTACGACTTCGCACATTTGACTGCTGGAGATCGCAACGCGAAAAATTACCCAAAGGCAAACGGTACCTCCCCGACCTCCGCTTTTGAATTAGAGATCTGGATCAAAAATAGTAATTACACTTTCAAGAAAGTTCATTAACGTTGCTAGATTATATTGGCAATGGTTTTTAATTTTTTTTACTGTTTTAAACATGTATCAACAGTGTTTTAAACATGTTTTTTTTTCAGCTAATGTTGAATGTTTTAAACAAAAAAACAGATTTAAACAAAAAAAAACATGATTAAAAAAAAAACATGTTTTTTTTTCAATCCTGATTTAGTTATTATAATTAAATCCTGTCGTAGTATTCTGCGTAGGACCCTAAAAGTTAAATAGCTGTGATAATTTACAGTATTTGAGAATGGCTTCCCTCGCAAAAGTGCGATTTATATCTTTATTGAATGAAAAATATATTGCATAGGATGCAGATGGATGACAACTACCCAACCGTGAATAAATATCCAAATAAAAGTAAATTTGAACAAAACGTTCGTTCAATACAAGTGATCAATGAATTCATCCTAAAATGATTATCTATTTTTCTAATTTGTTCATATGCTACAACTATTCTACATCAATGAAAGCACAAATAAAAATATTGCACGTTTCATCTTTAGAGTACTTATACACACTAGATATAATGGATCTAATTTTCAATGTATTTGTGAGTGCAGTTTCTAATAATTTTGTTCTCTGCAGGACCTAATGCTGGAGGTAGTGCTAGCTGGAATAGTTGGAATATGCCGCAAAACAGCGGTTCTACAGGTCCCTCTGGTGAGTTAAGCCTTACTTCTTCTCCTTCTCCATATAGTAATAGTGACATATTAATAGCCACGCTATTATTTGTGTGTGACAAAACAAATTTTGAGTACAGCCAAGAGACAAGAAATTTTAGGTGCCTGAGAACATATCAATCGCAAAAACATCTATCTATAAACGTATAAATAGTTATAATTTCTGTTTCCTAAATAATTCAGTTTAGGAAAAATAGTGCTGCAGTCAGTCAATGAAAAGAACAAAGTCGGTCTTTAATCAACAACGGTACATATAAATCAATATAATGATTAAAGCTTAATAACCAGCGTTATATTATCGAAAATCGTCAAATTATAACTCCATGGTGCAGAATGAATCTTAGCAAGTGTCTGGAACAGCTGCTTAGCTGCTTCAGTATAATAAAAATTAAATGTCCTCTTGTCATTCGCTGGCCAAATAATATATAACATTACATCCTGTGATAGCAGATTATCGAATTTCATCTGACTGCATCTAGTGTTAGTTTTTGGCCATTATCCCCGTTTCTCCCCTATTAACATTTGGTATTTACTTGCAGAAGACCTATCAGTAGGTAACAACTCATACGAGCTCAACTTAAAAATGTCATATGATGCGAGAACACCATATCTGAGGCAGCTACAGTGAGAAGCGGATCGTTCAGTTAAACCTGTAAATAATATATTTCTATCTATATAACATTGAATTCTGATACACACCAGCAATATAAAAAATTGTCAAACCCTGATTTAAACGTTCAAGATATGACTTATGGTATATGATTTTGCTGTTTTCTTTAGAGTGCATGGATTACATCTTTGTCACATTTTGACAGGCAGATACACATGTCGTTGTGATTTACCGATTTTAATGCAACTATAGTGATTCACCTGTTAGGTCAACTTTCAAAATTATTTTGGACCTGGTCCTAATTCAAGGTCGACCAATTTATAATCAAATGACCTGGTTCTAAAATTTTAGAGCTAGTCCGAGAGGCTGGTTCAGGTTCCGATTTGTCATATCTGAAGAACATAGTCTGAACATCAAGGTTGTTATGAGGTTCTAACATTCTATTCTTATTATCCATACCTTTCAGTAGGATCATGTGAATAACTGTTGCAAGTTATTTGCATGGTGTCACTAGCTCTCATTTTTTTTGTTTTTGGTGCTAATAATTTCACATTATCCGTCGACAAGTGTGTCTGCACTTTATTGAAGGATGGTGTAATTTGGGCAGTTTATTTTTTACTTCTTAAATTCAGGATTAAACAAAAAATATCTAATTTAAGAGAAGACACCTGTGATAATAGTAATTATATTCGTAGCTCAAGATTCGTAGTTGACATAATTTTGCCATTCTTTCAGTATCAATTCATATTATAGGTATGCATAAGTGGCTTCAACTTGACGGGTGTCATTTTTTGTAGATATAAGTTTAACAGGTATAACTGCATTTAAATTTCTCAACTGAAAAACATTTTATAATGGGTTGCTTGATCTATTGAGTGTCTTTTTTTATCTAGTTTATTTGAAGCATTTTTTGTAATTCTTGATTATATATATACAGCATGGAACAAATGTACAAAGACTATTCGTAATTTATCCATTGAAATTTATGATTAAAAATGCATATGAAGCGTCAGATACAAATCCTTTTGTAAATAATGACGCAGATGTTTTATTAGATATAGTATCAAAACTCTCACCATGTTATAAGTTTTGTTCCAAATCGTATTTTGTATTTTATAGATTATTTATCTACAATATTGTTTGTTCAATATCAAAGCTGAATTTAAGATCCAGCTCCTTTAGACAATTTTTCTCATGTTTCTTCTTCAAGATTGAAATGAAAATAAAGCAACGATAAATATTACATTGTTTTATAATTTAGAATGTATTTTGTTTGACATAATAAACTATTAAAAGTAGTCTAAACTTTTATTTTCTTAAAACCTACCTTGATGATGAAGAGCTCCGCCATGTACAAAGCTCTTTGTATATGAGGCTCATATAATTTTTTTAGAAAAATAGTTCAATCCTACTAACATTTCTGGGGTTTTTAACAATTTGACCTTGTTTCCTTCTGTTGTAAAAATAAATGGAGAGTTTTGAAGCTGTTCGCTTCATATGCATTCAAGTCTTAACTAACAGACAGCAACAGAAGTCATTCGTTTTGAATCAGGGATTTGCTTTTTGCACACAATATTCAGCCACAAAACGAGACAAATCGCTCTGGTAATAAATCACTGTCACAATTGCATACTAATTTCTTTTTGCCAAGATCCAGAGAGTTATACCCCGTAACTTTATTCCTGTTGCATACTACACTGTTTCATATAGTGGTATGACAGACTGTTGGAATTGCGTATTAGACTTCAACCTGTAATGCTGCCAAGATTTGTCATTGTTTGAGCCAAGATAGGATCTCGGTGGAATCCAAGGTTAAATTCCTTTCTTTTTTCAATGTATGACGGTTCAGGATGAGAGAAAAGCTCTATCATACCTATTCCCTTTCATAAAAGTAAGGGATCGGGGTCCATAAGAGGGCTTCTCGGTCCTGAAAACATCTCAAATTTTAAGTCGATCGCGTGTATGAAATTTTTGCATTTGAATCAACATTGCTTTTTTATTTCACTAGTAGATTGTTCTTTCTCATAATTAAAATTAAAGTCGAAACAAATGAGTACACACCCCAGAATTGTGGACCCTCAGGCTTCAAAAAAAAAGGCCAAGTACTAAAATAAAAAGAAAAATGTCGATCAAAGTTTAAAATACATGTTTCAGAATATTTAAATGAAAGGATTTCATGGAGTTTGAGTAATTTTCAGCACCAACATCCTTCCTTACTGACCCTGATCATTTTTAGTTGAGTTCGTTCTCTCGTTTCTGGCAAGCTTGTTGATAGCAGCGCAGTTTTGGAAAGTCGATATTTTTTATCGAGCAGTCAATGTAATGTTTTCGCATTAATTTGTCGCTTTCAATTCTCATTAATTCAGGAAAATGGCTAAACGACGTCCTTAGTTAGCAGACTGTTAAGACAAGGTTTGTATAAAGTAGATGAGGAGTCACAAATTCGCAATGTAACTTCTCTGGAACTAAAGGCTCGTTCTTCCTTCGAATCTAAATCATCATGAAACATTGAATATTGGTGAGTTTGAACAAGGTACGGGGATATTCGCGATAGATTACCCCATTCAAGATACTGCGCTCTGGTGAATAGAATTGCCTCATTTGCAATTTGTGAACGGCGTTGCACTTTTATCAGGAGTTACCTCGGTAACTTTTTATTTTTGCTTTTATTGTTTTTAAGTTACTTGCTATATGTTTTATATATAGTTTGTGATCGTCAATAGCACTGATTTTCTGATGAGCCTTGATCAACTAAGTTTAGAATTCCATATGAGGAAATGGGTTGATCAGATATGATAAAAACGTTTTTATTCTTATTGTGAGGGTAGGTGAAAATTTCAAACAGTGACTGATGAGTCGACATTTAAAAAAGATGGTTGCATGAAACTACACAAGTTAGACCAGTGGCACGTAGAAAATCCACATTTGATGAGGCAGTGTCGGTTTAACGTAAACATGTGGACCGGGATTTTAAATGGGAGAATGCACCCTTTAAGCTGCCAGAGTTCTTAGTGGCGAAATTTATTTATACTCTTTATAAAATCATTTACCAAAGGTTTTTGAAGACGTTCCACTAAGCTTTTACAACGGGGATCGGTGAAAGAAAAAGTTTACTCAAAGCCAATCGAAAATTCAGCTGAGCTACGGGACAATAACGGAAGCAGCCGAATTTGTTAATAACCCGATCATTTTTGAGATGTCAAGCTTCCATTGCTGTTGAAGGAAGGTAGTTTGAACATTTAATGCGAATTTGATAAATACATTCACGAATTAATAAAAGTGGCGTTACTGTCTTGCTGTCACTACGTAGAATGACACTGTCCGTAACTCCGTCTAAGAAAAAATAAAAGATCATCACAGGATACAGATTATTCCGATTTTTTTAAAGCCTATAATTTGAAAAGTACACGACTTGAATTTTTTTTAATATTTTTCTGATAACTATTATGGCTTGGCCTATCCCTCGTTTCCGGCTTGGCGTTGACTTCTGGGACACCCTGTACAAGTCCACAATTTACCGAACATAATCTGTTTATTCATCTTTGAGGCAAATTAAACCACCTCTGCATATCAAAACATATTTTGCATACATATCACACCAGTAATACTATATTTGACATACATATGTTTCACAGCTGATCTAAAGAATCAAACAGTCTAAATAGTCTTTGGCAACTTCATATGAATTAGCCGTAAAATATATCGATATTACCGAGCTGTGCGATGTATAGTGTGCATCATTTAACGGTCGTCTATAGATGGGCTTTTCCGTACCGTTTTTCTCATCTCGCGGGCTCCAGTAATGTGCTTTCTAGGTCACTTCGGTGAACTAGTTCCCGAACGAACTAGTCAGAATAATGTCAGTGAAAGAGTCGGATCAATCTTTGATCCGATCACCGAAGCTAAGCATCGTCCGGCGCTGTTAGTACTTGTATGAGTAACGATTTCGGAACACATCGTATTGTTGATTTTTTCGGTTTTTCATTTTTTTCATAAAGATGGACGTTTCAAATTTAAATTCTCATAGTACCTTATGAGAGTTACACTTTTTCCAATCACCTCAAATGATGTGGGATACGCTTTTGTTTTTACCAGTTCAGCAGATTTATAAGTAAATAATGCATATCTGCCTTTGATTAGGGTTCCTAGATCGCAGACGAAAGCCAAGCGGAAACTGATCTGAACAAGACAAAACAGTCTCGGACCTTTTGAAGGATTCTGACCTTGATGCAAAACGTCTTTACGCAATCGCAGCAGGGATTTACGAACTGTATGGATCTTTAGATGAACCGCTTTTACCCGTGAAAGGCAGGGAATAGCAAAATCTATCCCAGATTATTTGATAAGGTTAAAAAACGTTTGTGTCTGCCAGCTGTACCATGCGAGCATTTCTTTTCTTGAAAGATGAGCAAGAGCTGAGCAGAAATAGACTACAGCCGATAAAGTTGAAAAAGTAATGTTTTTTAATGGAATTTTGTAGTTAATTTACATTTTCCTTTTTGGTATTCTAATTTCTTAATTAGCCTTAACGGGTGATATGCTAGAATAACAGCTAGCAAATTTTTATTTCTTTCAGTCTTCATATCTAACAGCATTTTTCCAGGCAGCCAGTTATACAGCCTTCCTGTTACGGTTGTGTTCCGACTCATTTTTCCCATCAGGTTCGTTCACTTACAACCGGTTCGCTTGGGTCATCGGGATCCTATAATACCAATCTTTCGTAGTGAACGAGTTGGTCAAGGAATCATGAACCAGTTCGTTCGCGAACTGCACCGTGCTCCGCTCCTTTTCAGAACCGTATAGTCGATGTCTTGAACAATGTTCCGTTGTTGCAGGTTACATAGCCGGCGACATGTATTCTCGAGGCGGCAGCGGTCCCGGCGGGCCTGGGACCCCTAGCGGCGGACCACCGACGATGTCATCATCATCCAATAGCAAACCGCCAACGGCCGGCAACGATTATGGCTACGCAGCCGGCTACGGTTACGGCTCGGCGACGACAGCGGACGGTTACGGAGGCACACAAACGGTGGCCGGCGCGGCCACGGCGCCTGGTAGGGCCGCTGCAGCTGCAGGTTACGGCGGCGAGGCGGCTGCTGCGGCAGCTGCTGCAGCAGCAGCGGCGGCGGCGGCAGCTCAGGCGCAGGCCGCGGCTCAAGCGAAGCACTTCGCCGACTTCAAGGAGTGGCCCAGCTCCTGACGGGCTGCTCCGCCAGCAGCGACCTGCGCCAGGGCGGCCGCCAGCGAGCATCAGCAACCGCATCAAGGCGGCCGCCGCGGCGAACATGCCGCATCCGCTGCAGCAACCGCCTCCACGCACGGTCGATTGTGTATGTGATTAGGCAGAAGGCAGGCGGTACCTTTAAGATCATGCGGGTGGCGATAGCCGAGTATTGGGTTGGCAAGGAAGTTTGGATGATGATGTTGGCTTGTTTCATTTTGTTGGTTCGATTGCATCACAGTAACTTTAGATGAAATCACTATCATTGCGGAATGAAGATACAAATTGTTCAACTTGGAGGGGTATCCAGGACCGGTACGCGGATTCCGCTGAAAAAATCCTATACTCTAAACTCTTGCTTTGACAGCACTCCGTCTAATGCGTTTAAATTGGAAAGAATTTGTCCAATGAAGAGCTTCATGGTGATCTAATTACGTTCAAAATACTGGTTTTTCGAACTGGGGACTTTTTAGTGACCCATGGCCGCAACTTGGACTGTAATCATTACAAAAAAGTTATATGTATCATACAGTGATTTAGTATGTTTTATCATTCTTCTTGCAGCGTAGAAGAATATATGCAAATATGCAATATGGAACATTTCATTAAAAAAACCTTTTTTGAACTACATTTCTCATTTGACGTTGCCAATTCACGTGGATCCTTTGCTGGTGTATTTTTATTCTAGGGTCAGGACGTATTGATATGGAGTTTCAAAATGAGGTATGAAAAAAGGTTCGACGGCAAAATATAGCACTGCATCAATTTCAAAGAAGACGCAGTGGAGGAGTGAGAGCGTTTTTAAAATCTCTGTATAAAATACTAGCAGAACACAAATCATAAAAAATTACATAAAAAACAATATGTAGCTTCAACCGAGTGTAGACTTCATTTTAATAAAGCTGATGTAAAAGCCAGTGTTTTGAACGTAATCAATTGGCTACTACCCTCTTTATTGGGCAATTTCTCTCAAACTAAAGCGCATTGGGAGAAATGCTGTAATATGCCATGAAATGTTAGTGACAGAAGTGCCTTTACGCGCGGAGGCAGTGATAGGAGGCCAGAGACTGCCATTGTCACTGTAAAGTACTATTCAAGTTTAAAAAAGTATGAAAATTTGAATATGAATGATTCACAATGGCAGTGACAGATTTTCTATACGTGTGGTATGGCCGCGGACTTAGTCGTCTGTCCCTGTCTACATGTGGAACGGTACCTTAAGAAGTCAATGCCAATGAGACTTCTTCCAAGTTACAGTGATGTATCGAACTTAACAATAAAAGTTTATATTGTTGCGACTTTGATTTTATTGTTGGATATATATTGTTGTAATTTTGACATATTTTTTCATATATATTAGAGTAATTTTATTTTGCTGTATTTTCCCATTTTTTGGGCATTGCCTAGTTTTTCTCGCCAGACTTCCTTGCACCAGCACAAAAATTATACGTTTCTAGACTGTGGCTCGATTTACCAAAAAAATGATGTTCGATTGGAAGTAGACGACCGTGTTTCAAGCATTTGAGGCTCTTTTGCATTATCAAAATAAATGATTGCGTACATGCTGATGACGCCGATTGAATTGCATTGTGCATGCGACTGACGTAACTTAGATTTTTTACTTTACAACTGATTCATATCAAAACACTACAAGTAGTTTTAAATATTTAATACATAATAGGCATTTAAATTGATGTTCAGTTTGATCTGCGTCGTCGTCATTCATTCCGAAATTGACAGAATAAAAGTATGGAAAAATACAATTTGGTGACAGTTTGGAATGTATAATTTACGTGTTTTATTCGGCTCAAAACTAAAAAATACACACAATACACATTTTTGAAATTATCGAAAAAATACTTCCTACTGTGACGTGCTTAAAATACAGGACTTTCCAGTTTGTAGCTAGGAAAACCATTCAAGAGCAAAGTTATTAACACAAAGATAATATTAAAAAAAACACTATTAGTCATCGTATTATATAAAAAAATACTTATTAAAAGTAATCTCGATGCAATTCCTCAATATTAACCATATGAAGCATCTCTATTACAAATCTGGACTTCCTGTACATTACTAGCTCAGATTTCATCTAATTTTTCAGAGTAATTCTTCGGTAAGTATTGATGACTTCTGAATATAGCTAATTTTGACTGTTGCCGGAAGTTACTAATTTTAGAGGATCGTAGAGTCAAACAACAGTTTCGGAATTCAAAAGATGATCGTGGAAATTCTAGACAGAGTTTCAATATTTACTTTGGATAACATTAAGATATACTATTTATGAAAAAGATAAATTTGTCGTTATGGTAAAAAAGTAAATAATGGAATGTGTGTTTTTAGATTATCGTTTTCTAAAGGCGATTTAGAGTTTAATGCAAATAAAATTTTATATATTTGGATGTTATTTGGGTAAGCTATGGAACCTAAATTCTTAAAAATCTTCATAGTGACATTACCATATTGATAAAAAAAACCTCAGGGAAATATGTAAAAATAGGTGGTTTAATATTCGTGTTTCATAAATATTACATCTGTAGGTTATTCAAGTACATATTGATTTTTTCCTTCATATAATAATGGATTTATTCGCTATATTGACTTTTTTGTATAAATCTGTAATTCTAGTAGGTAACATAAATCTTAATAATATTTAACAGACAGACAGATATATGTTGACTAATTTTAAGCTCCCGCTCAAGTTGTTATGGTAAACATAATATATATATTTAAATAGTGTATAAATTCAATTTTTACCTCATATTATCGAGTAGTTGGAACGCCTGATGCTGTAAAATTAAATGGCGCATACAGTCCTAAGCATACTTTTACATTTTATATTTTTTCATTAATTAGTAATTTATAAATCTACAAATACGCAAACAATGTGATTCCTACTTTTAGTGAGTAAGTATTTTGCTACTTTTTAAATTTAAGTTAAATGCATTTACAATAGTTTTTAAACATCATTGATTAAATTATATATCGCGACTGGTTTCTTCATATTGTAAACTGACGAAATAAATAAACTTGAATTAGTTAGTTGCATTTCATAATTTTTCTAGAGTTTAGATAAATAAATCAATTCGTCGATCCAACAGCAAAATAGGGTTTCCTCGAGCAATATGTTGATTAAAATATTTGATTCTCATTGCTTAGGGGAATAGACAGCAGTATTAATTTTAAAAATAAGTCCCTGGCGTCATTTTAAAGTGTGAAGAAACACCAAACTGAAACTCAGAAAGCCCATAATGCATTCTAGCAAAAACTTGATTTTTACCAAATTAAGCTGCTAATATCACACTTATCTTGCTTCCATAGGATTTTTAATATCTAAGATATCGTGGTCGTCCAACATTTACATGTATGAAAAAACCTTGGAAAAAACAAGTATAACAAAATTAACCATTTCATTAAATCCACTTCAACTTTTCAAAAAATACAATTTTATAAATTAGGGTTTGCAGCGTTTTAAATTTTTAATAATTTTTACTGAAAACACCTCTCAACATGCTTGTTATTTGTCGCCTACAATGACCTCACTAGACTAAACGGCGCTAGTGTCATTTGCAGTTGGCTAACGTTAAAAAAATCGCTCGAAAGAATTGAAAAAATTCTAATACCCCTGTTGGATGGATTATGGACCTAGGAGTGACCGGTTTTTACTGGCATTGTCAGCTCATCATTTTCTAGTCTGATATTTCCATGTTTAAAGTTTATCAAAACGTAGGCAACGTGATTTGTATATATAATTATATAATATAATATACTATATAAACCGTAATTTTATCTAAGTTGTAGAAAATTTTTACCACTACAGGCAGGCGTTCTAACTCACTAAGAGTTATATAAGGAGTTTTTCTAAGGAATTGTTGTAGTTAAGAGCCCACTATTTAATAATATAAATGTCGATATAACGAAAAGGATATTTTTTAAGTGGAATGCTATTAATTTTATTCTGCACAACCACATATACTATAAAATAGCTAGCTAGTAGGATACTTCGCTAAGATCTGGTTGTTTAGTCGTATACGTTTTATATTTTTCTCATATTTTCTGAATGTTGATTTTTTTACTATACGCCACAATTGTTTTTCACTTTCGTTCGCCCCAAGACTGGAGACGATCTGTACATTTTGACAGACTGATTTCACAGAAAATGTTCGGCAGCTACAGTTCATGTAAGTAACGTCTGAAACGTATCATGTAGATGTTTGTCTGACGAATGAAATCACATATATTTGGAATTCTTTAATGTAGTAAACGTTTCGGTCACTTTTGTGACATGACACTTTTGACAATATTTTATTTATCTGTCTTCTAGGTGACTTTTTTCTTTTCATTTTTAGATTCCTAATAAGTGTGTTACTGCAATAATAAAGTTAACATCTTAAAATTTGGAATGATGGCTTCGCGCAATTTCGGCATTTTGAGACTATTGTAGTAACACACTGTATTGGAATCTGAAAATGAAAGGAAAAAATTTATGTTTGCCTGGAAGACACATAAATAAAATATTATCAAAAGTGTTATGTACTGAAGAAGGCCACCTTTGTCAACGAAAGGTTTACTACATTGAAGAAGAATTCCAAATATACGTGGCTTCATTGGCCAGACGAACATGGGAGATTATCTGAGGTTTGTGGCATCGCTAGTTTTTTGAGCTGCTTTTTGTATAATAAAATTCATTGAATAGTAGCAAAACGTGAACGTTTTATATCTACAGATATTAAGGCAAAAATAAAAAACGATGTTTTCACTTCATACGTCGTCGACCGTATTCTGGACGCAATTTTAAACTGTACGGTGGAATTTAAGAGAACAGCTTTTACGAAATCAATATATTCATGTTATTTTGTTTCCATTGTTTACCATTGGAAATAAGTACCTTTGTTTTACACAAATTCGTCTTAAAACTTAGAGCAAATTTAGTCAATTTACGGGAATTATAATATAATGAAATCAATCTGTTAACATGCATGACGACCAAGCATTTTTAGAGCGGAGTGAAAACTAAGGCATATTTGTTGCATTTGTAAATTTTTTTGTTGAAGATCGTTCGATGACTTGATCGAATTAAATTATCGCTTTTAACTGTTATTGTTTTAACATATTTTTCCTGTACATTTTATAAAACTTACGTTTTTAATTTACGGATACTAATTTATTGATCTATATTATTAGTTGCAATCAAAGAAAAGACTAATAGAGTAAGGCTACGTTTAAGTTAAGTGGTTGTGATTCAGGTTAACAAAAGAAATTAACTACAAAATTAGGAAAATGACTTTAATAGACAGTATTTTTTGGGTATTTCTTTGGCTGGATTACAGTGACAATGATATATATTTGTGACATTGATTCTCACATCAGGAGGCACATTTTTGGGGTTTGGCTCAAAAGTAGGTCATACCAAATTCTTGCTTTTTAAAATTGTAGATTTGATTGCTACCTGTCAGATTTAGAACGATATTTATAATTTTTTTCCGTTAATCTATTTCATTTTCCTCATTTATTCTTTTTTTTTTGTAATTGAAGCGTCAACATTTTTTTCTGATTATATAAAATGTTCTTGATATGCGAATCAGTTAACAAATAATTATCATTATCAATTCAGCAGTTCTATACCAAAAATTTACCTTTTATAATTTGTTGTCTTTTAAGACTTAGCATTTCTTTGCAAACATAGAATTTAGACGGAAAAACATGTGAATTTATATTTAGTAGATGAAAAAGTCTGTCTGTCTGCGCCTTGGATTCTGTCTTGTCTAATCACTTAGCAATCGACTGTTTTTTCTTTTATACACATATTTATACATAATTACTTTTTTTTTTAATTGAGTGTGACAATCTACAGTAAGCAATGTTTAAATAGAAGTTTAGGAGTAAAATGTTTTCTAGTTTTAAACATTGAAATGAATTACAAGATATAAAACGTCTTTTGGTTGATACAGACCAATATTAGAGTTACAAAGATGAAGAATATATTCAAAGGACTAGCATTTATCAGGTGAGTGTTTTTGGTTTAACATCTGGCATGTTTCTGAAGCAAACTGTCTAGTATTTAGAATTTAAAATGATACAGTGTGGATGAAAACAGCTACTATCATACACCAGGCATTACTATAAATCCACTACTAATCAGCTGTTTTGAAATATGTCATGATTTAAACCACAATGCATCCACTTGATGAGATCTAGCCTTCTGTATTTAAGTAGTGTATAGTGGGTATGTCGTATATTAAATAATATATATACAAAGATTATTACTGAATGTTCTAAATATCAATATATTCTGACACATACACACATAGCATATATAGTGAAACGTGAGAGTATAGCTATTTAATATGTTCAAATTTTTATCTATCGGTTAGAAGGAAACCTTTGTGCATGAAACGTTGATATTGGGGAGTAGACAATTGATGAATGATGGATTCTTTAAGGTTGTTATATAACCTCACTTCGTTCTTATTTCACTTTGAAATTGAACATTATATACCGTTTCAAATAACTACATTTGCTTATCTTTCATTAACAAGTAGTTAAATATTTTGTTGTGGATTAACTGTGACATGTGTAACTATTTGGAGTCCAAAGGTCTGTGCATTGGCAATCCTTACTGGTTTGGATATTGAGTACTTGGAATATAAAAGCGAATTTCTGGAACATTTTTAAAAAATCCGCTATTCTCGCATTGATCATCATGAGGTAACAGTACGAGGTTTGTTCGAAAAGTATCGCATTCATCTTTTTTCAAGAATTATTTATTTATTCATGAATATATATTTTTCAAAGTAATCCCCCATCATTATACACTTGTGATAACGTTTTTTCCAATCCTCGAAGCATTTTGAAAAATCATTTTTTGTGATATTGTTCAGCTCGTCCTGCGATGCCGTCTTTATCTCCTCAATCGTGGCGTATCGTCGTCCTTTCATGGGCCTCTTCAGTTTCGGAAACAAGAAAAAGTCGCAGAGGGCCATGTCTGGGGAATACGGTGGGTGAGGCATTATTGGAGTGTTGTTTTTGGCTAAAAATTCACGCACAAGTAACGATGCACGAGCAAGGGCGTTATCATGGTGCAAAAGCCAATTTTTGTTCTTCCACAAATCCGGGCGTTTCTGGGGGATTTCTTCTCGCAAATTGCGCATTACTTGAAGGTAATACTCCTTATTGACCGTTCTACCCTGCGGCAAGAACTCATCAATGTTTTCGCCTGTTGTTGATGTGCATCTCGGCCCTCTGAGAACATTTTGTACCATCGATAAACGTTGCTTTTGTCCAAAGTAGCTTCGTCGTATGGAAAAGTCAACATTTGGAATATGTACTTCAAGTTGTTTTTTTTACACAAAATTTGATGCAAATTCTTTGATCCATTTTTTAGAATAGACAAAAATTGGAGACAAGCTAAAACACGTCCACGCACAATATCTGTCAAAAACTGAACATTCAAATTGGCCGATATTATCAACATTAGTGAGAGTCATGAGTACCAACATAACGCCACCAAAAGATCGAAAATCGAACATACGTAGCCCGCGAAAATTCAAAATTTGCGATACTTTTTAAACAAACCTCGAATGATGAAGCATTGTCATTTTATCTTAAATATTACGGGTATTTTTACGCATTAAACAAATATTAAAGATTTTACAGATTACAGGAGTAATTCTCAACTGAGCAGAATTCTGCTGTTATATTTTCAATTCAAAGTTAACAGACTTTTGGACATCACTTGCCGTTAATTTTTTAATATACCAACTTGTCGTTCAAATCCATCTAACTAACGCAACTGTCTCTATGACGTTTAATCAGAGTTTCTATGCCAAACTAATTCAAAGCTAGAAAACGTTGACGTGAAAAAAGTACAAAATTAAGGGCGGATGAAAATCAGTCTTCGGTCGTAAAATATAACCGGCTTCGGAAAATATTATATTGATTGTTTGTCTCGTGTTGTGGTGGGGGAATATTATAAAAAATATCAATATTTCGCAGGATGTTTTATGTAGGGTTGACATCCTCGATCTTGCTTGGCGATGGCTCAGTGCTTGAAAACTTCAATTTCAAATGTCATTCTGTGGGTATGGCGTTTCTGGTTGTACATGTTCTCTTGAAACTTGCTTATAACCAATGCGGTCAGAATTATGTTCGATATTGTCATTAAAATCACAAATATTTGTGTATATTTACATGAATACTGTTGGTGTACCTAATACTAGATTACAAGTAAAACATGGCAACAAAGAGATCGGAACGTTGCCAAATAATGATTTCTAACTTCACAAGAATGTTGTTCAATTGCAGATGGTGATTGTAATTCTTATAAGTATTGCAATTTACCTGATAAGATTGTCAATGGGATTGTTTTCAGTGCTGTGCCTGAATTGAGGTTGCTTGTTCTAACTTGCAAATAACATACGTGTTTTTTCCTGTATATGTAGTCATATCGTAGTGGTGTTGGCTAGTGTTTGTGTTGGTGAATCTTTCTATATAAAACGGTGGCCTTTGTTGTATTAATAACCATACTCTGGTGATGCTCGACGTTAACACGACGAAGTTGAATTAGATCAGCGACCGTTTTACGTGACAAATTATACTATAGTCGAGAGCTCCAAATTGAAATTTGGTAGGATAACTCATCGCGCACCCCTAATTATGTGTGTGCGAAGTGTGCGTGGTCCTTGCGCTAGATACCAGCTCGACAGCATCTAGATTAAGCACATGTATGAGGATTTTACTGTGCTATATAAATGCAGCGATAGCTATACCCTATTTCACAAGTATCGATCCCCATATCCGGACAGGACACATAATTCTGACGGATCCTTCAACGTCAGGTGGTCAGAGCCGTATTTTGTTTTAGTTTTTTGTCCGCTACATATTTCATTTAAAAAAGTTCATTTGCATACAAAAACAAAACGATACAAAGTTTTACTAGATTTACACCCGATTCATTATTGCCAACGTTGCAACCTAACCTGTTCACCTTAGTGGACGTCAAAGCGTGATTAATGCTTGTGAACTAGGGTATAGATGATGGTTGTTTTGGTGATCAATCTTATTGTTTTGCTGGACAAACGAAACCAAAGATGTACAAATGAAAAAGTCTACCGAGATGTCCGAAATGTTAGTAACCTTTCATTTACTACATGTGTGAGTTCATTTGGCCAGCCTAACATGGAGATAGATTAATGGTGTTCGATGAGTTACACTATGAACTGCAACTTTGGAACGTGACATTAGCAATAGTTTGAGAGAACGTATACTACTAAAAAAATAATTACATCCAACAACTGCTAGTTACATCTTCTGATTGATTTGTGTTTTGAAGCGATCACTGATCTTTTTTTATTTCATACGGGTAGTATTTCATAAATGATCGATAATCGATACACATATATTAAAATGGCCTTTCCTATTTAACTTCTCTAAAAGCTGGGGGCGTGTGTATACTCTCTTTTCTTTCTTAACACTACAGTAAAATATTGCTGTACACACGAATATATTAATATACATTTAACTGTCGTCAAGTATTATTTTGGTGCTAAAAACAGCTTCCCTAAATATAAATTAGATTACTAGCTACCGATTACATCTTATATCATTATTGAAATATTTAAAAAAAGTAATGAATAGCTACTTTTATTATACAAAAATTTCCAGTAATGTTACTATTCTCAAAGTACTTATGTTTGTAATTAATTATCGCATAAAATTCTCCTTTCATACACACATTTCAGAAAATATATTAGAAAGCATATTCACTAGTAAAATGTTCACCATGGCTCGGAGATGAATGAACATTATTAGTTAATGTAATGCTTGTACCTTGACATCGTTTAATTTGTGGTTCTCAAAATACACTCAAAGCACAAATTTCGATTATATCGAAAAACAAGGATATATTTCCTTTTGACAAGGAGATTTGAAGAAATCACATCACAGGCGTTAATACGTAACAGTGAACAGGGTTAATAGGTTAATCTTTTGACTTATCATTTACCTGAAATCGAAAACTAAGCACAGTTTTTCATGGGATCAATCTAATATTATTAAAACGTGGCACGCCTTATACATTTTAAGCTCATAATTATATTTAGGGAAATTGTGAGGTAGCATTAAAATAAGACTTTTTGTTTTGATGAAAAGACTAGGTATTATTTTGGAAGACACTGTAGTAGCTGTTAGGCGAAATACACTAATACAAAATAATTTAAAAATTAAATATAGACTTACTGATATAAATTGTATTTTGTATTCTACAGTATACTTACTAGTTAAATGGTTAGTGTAATTTATAAATTTAAACATAGAGAATTAAAATTTAGACGAATTTGACTGATGTACAGAGGTTACTTGGCTAAGTTTTTAAACGTTAAAAAGTGAAATAAATACAATAAATCGATTTACATTATAACTATTTAGGGCCTTTAAATAATAGTGCAATTCAAAGTTTTTTAATATAGTGAACATAGTATGTTGTTTAAGGTATTTTTATAATTTTAGCATAATTTGACGACACGTGTAGCTAAGATGAGATCTGAAATATGATATCCGGCCAATTTTGCACACGTATCATTTAAAATTCGATCATAAAAAATATCCTCATTTTATTGTAGTCTCTCAAAAACGTTTGCCTTACTTAAGAGCATGGTTGGTTTTAAATGATATTACCTTAAATTCGATCAAATCAAATTTCAGATCACCAGAAAACCTAGTCTACTCTAGAATTACAAACAGTTTAAGAAGTATTTTACTGCTCAAAAGATATTATTTTGTATTATGTAGTTACTTTAACTTTAAGAAGCAATGTCTACCAGTCTAAACATGAAATTGATTTAAGAGAAAATTGTATATTTAATATATGAGTGTGACCTTCAAGTGTGTTATGCCGATCTATTGTTTTCTAGTACCTAAATAGTTGACGGATGATTTTTCATAATTCTCGTGTTTATATGTGTTCCAACAGTATACGTCGCTACATATTTCTTGTATTGCTTTTAGTTGATCTCGTTGTTTTTAATCAGTTTTTTCGCGTATTTTTAAATGTGGAGGTTTTCGGTATTTAGGAATTCAGTAACCTGGAAATGCAAATTACTCCCTAGAATAACCTTACGTTCTCTCACTGACCAGTGATAAAAACATGTCTTGATTGGGATGTTACCTTCACAACAATACTGAGTGATTTGCATTGTATTTGAATTACTACAAGTTTTAAATATTCAGTTCCTTTTCGTTTTTGTAGCGCGATTTTTTCCGATACGGCGACACGTCTGAAAAATCGAATTACCACCCCTCACTTAAACTATCCCCTCTGCCACTGTCTTTATAGCGGCATCCAAGTATTTTCACGATACATTATTAAAAAGCAATCTGATCACGTGAATAATTGTTGAGAGTATCTGTGTAATGGTTGTCGAGGTCGATCTTATTAGTAATTTATGCCACGGGTGGATTAGATTTGTAGTTATATGTCGGCTCCTGTTTATTGCAATCCTTAGCTTGCATTCTTGACCAATTAGCTATTTTCGGTTCAAGATAGATGTTTTACAAGTTGTCTCATGCTGAATAATTGAATAAGCATTGATTTGACAATTGACAAAAATGTGCGATATTCCACTGCTTTTATTTCTTTTCCCTTTATTGAAAAGCTCTGATTTATCTATTTTTTTAAAAAGAATCATGGCTTAGTAGGTCGGCTGACTACTTTAAAGATATTCCGATTTATTAAGGTTACTTCTCTAAAACATAAAACTATAAAAATTGTAATCATAACCCATGGTGAGTCCCCCAAGAGGCTACTGCAGGTTTATCACAAGGAAGTTGAAATATTTTTAAAAGGGAATCAGCCAAGATATTGTCTGTTAGAGCAGCAGACGTCAAACTAGTCGTTTTTAAGTATATAATTTCACGATGAGATGACTTAGATGCATTTATTTTGAACGTTGCTCATTCTTGCAAATCATTGATTTTAGGCAGCAACATATAGTCTGTCACTAAAATCGACTAATCTACCCTGGTCATTAGTAGTAATTGTTAACACACAGAGACCTGGTTTAAAATAATGTCTGTTTTAACGATTATATGAATATAATATAAAGTAAATATAGTAGTGCATTTGTAACATTTGGGGTAGTTGAATATTTGAGTATATTTAGTCTGACTTAAGATGTCACTAGTTTATCAAAATACTTACAAAACAATGTACCTATAATGCATTATCTCTGAATTTATGAAAAGAGAAAAAATATAACATGAAAAAATAAAATTCGATTATTCTTTCCCTTGCTAGTATTAAGGTACACAAATTCTGACGCTTTTCCATCAGATATTCAGACTAGATTCCTTTTGTTCGTTTTTCAGTTATTCTAAATAAATAATAAATAGGTTTTATATATACATCCAACATAGTGAAATTTATTATAAAATTATTTTTTTCAATGATCTTGGCGTAATTATCAATTTAAGCAATGATAGCTTCTAAAGGTTTTAGACAATACATATTATATGGCGATTTTAGGAACTGGGATTTGGAAAAATTAGATATAAAATTTCCGGGAAGAAAGACAGATGCTAAACCTTCATCTGTATGGAAATGCTTAAAGTCGCTTAACATTTAAAACAAATGGAGACAATATTTGATGGAAAGTACATTAGTTAACAAACCAAAAACATTGGGAACATGAATAAGTTATGAAAAACATTATTTTACAGTGCTAAAAGTGCAGTGAATGTGTCTTTTGGAACAAGGTAATTCCTATAAACATAAGTTAGTTATATTTTTCGTTTTTAACCATCCACTATGATTTAAGTGAATACTACTAGAATTCGAAATATTAAAACTAAATTGAACAGCGATATCTTGTTCCAAATTTTTTGCCTGCTACATTACAAATATAGACATGAAACATAATTTCTGCTCAACAATCCATACCCACTGTTCATTGAAAACGTAGTTGTTTATATCATCGGAACTAAAAATTTAACGTACAAAATTTTTAGAATGACGCAAATAGTGGCAAATGCAAAACAAATTTTTTCTACTTATCGAACATATAATGTTTTTAAAATATCCCATAACCCACTGTTTGCTGAAAATTATATATTGTTCATGATTGATTTTGACGATATCTACATTGCATATTTTTAATAAAGCACACTCAATTTTAAATATTGCTTTTCCTAATAAAAACTGAAATCGGTCTGCAACAAACGCATAAACGTAGATCCGATTTCATTGTTTTTAGTCAGGGTCGTACGCGAAACATATGCACATAACTCCAAAATGTAACTTTTATAAAACTTTAATAACAAATTCTCAAATATGAATGCTTAAATACTATGTTAGTCTATTCGATTGACTTTACTATTTTAACATTGAATTTAAATAAATGTGTTTGCGTACTATCCTGATTTTCACGATATATACGAGTATATTTGAGGCGTTGAGAGCAAAAGAGTGCAAAAAACCGTAAATTTTCATCCAGCAACAGATTTGCAATAGAATACTAGATAATTTTGGCTTACATTCTTTTTGGGATATACACTCTAACTCTCAATGCTCTATCCGTTGTCATAAATGCATGGACTCATAGTTATATTATCTAATTCCTAAGTTAGGAGTGAAACAGTGCAGCAGAATCAAACATCATTCTCAAATTAAGCTGAATATGTTTTTTGAAACAGGATTATTTGGTATAGTCAAATAAATTTTTAGTGCTACTCACAATTATAAAATGATTAAACTCATATTTGGGGGTGTAGTTGAGCAATTTTTTGTTGAATAATATATATTATTTTAAGAAAGTTGTTTTCTCCAAAGGTGGCATATTTTTGGGGGAAATCATTGAAGTCGTATTTTTTGGTGAAATAATTTTTTCAATAAATTCTAGATTGAAAATATTTGCAATCTGCTACAGTTTTATTACCTAACTTGAGATACATTAAGTAGTTGTGAATCAATAGTGAACATTCTGGAAGTTCTGGAAACATTTGAACTCTTGCCATATGATGTTACAAACCAAAATATTACATTTAAAGGCAAGATTGAACCACTTCATATACAACTACTTCATACATATATGATGTTAAGAATCTTCCGTATCAGAATCAGGACATTTAAATTTGTATTTTATAATGTAGGCCTGAAGTTTTGTTTTACATAGTTTCGAAGATCAAACCAGATAAGTGACGCCCCTCATCCTTCATACACCGAGTAAACCGATTTTTGGCGTTTGCTATGACTCTTGCTAGCATAGCAGGCGTTATGTTGTCAATTTTCCTTGGATGTTGTCAAATCTGGTAGGGTCCTTGGAGGGGATTTCAAAAAACTCCATCGAAAAAATCACAAGGGACCAAATCGGGAGAGTGCGCTAGGTCTCCCTAATTGGGATGAGACGATCTGGAAAGTGTTCCATTGATGCTCTTGAAATGGGTGCCGTTGCACCGTCCTGTTGGAACTAAATGTCGTTTAAGACCAATCGCAGGTTTCCGCGCAGAACACCGTGGCGATCACAACATTGAAGCTGTCACTGCCTCAATGTTTTCAGGTGATCTAATGGGCCGAGGAACTCCAGTTCTTCGCTGGGTTGCGCTCACAGAACATCCGCTTGAAAAGTCAGCCTTAACCGCAAAATCACGCTTTTCACTGTTCAACGCAAGATGGCAACTGAACGGAGAAAAAGCAAGTTACGCTGAAGCACCGTGTATAATAATACTTGCCAGGAGCGAAGTGCATAGTGAGGAGAACTAGCTCAGGCACTGGACAAAAAGGGTAACATGGTCGGCCTCAGATAGCAGACTTCAGGTGTGATCTTCATTGTGAAATCTTTGAAAAAACTGGAGATGGGAGCTTGAACTCATGGACTATGGGTGAAGCCAAAAATTTCGACGACGACTTGAGTTGGTACACTGCGCAGCAAATAAATTTCAGGTGCTGCGCATATGACATCTCTGTGTACACTGCACAGAAAATTAATTTCAGGTTCTGCGCATGTAGCAGCTCACTCTGTTGCTGTCATCATGAATGTAAACAACTCCAATTTTGACAGTTCGGACGAGTTGGATGCAGAAACCTTAGGATATTAATAAACCCCAACGTAATACACCTACAGAACCTGGCAAAACGTGAGAGGAATGCACAATAAAGGATGCATTGGTTACGTTGACATTTTTCAATAAGCAGATACCCTTTCCGCAATGTTCTACGTCCACTAGATTTCCTAGAGCTATACCATCCTTGGCTTGGATTTATACAGATCCATGTATCCCTTACGCAGTTTAACCACCTATTTCTAGTCTTCGTGGGCCTGGCAATGAAGCATATATTTCGCTATCATCATTTGTGGGATAAAAAGAAAATGGTCAGTTAGAATTCAAATTGTTAATAACCTAGAATCAACTAAATCTCTTATGGTATCAGCTTACTTTGATATTGCACGTGTCACGTGTCAATCACAAGTATTTCTGTTTGACATCCAATAGTGCATGCGAAGTGGACCTTGTTCTCAGCCTTTGCTCATAGAGATTTGGAAGTAACATTATCTCAATGACCAAAACTTCCTGACCGTTCACTAAAACTTTATACATGAATGTAACGAATGACTTCCTGTTTAGGTTATCCGGGAGCAGCTGGTGACACGTATGTCGGGGGGCCGCAGAGAGGTGGCGCTGGATACGGAAATTCGCAGTCTTACCACCCGTATAGACGATAACCTACAGCACCAGGCATTTTTCAACAAGCTTAAATTAGTTCATAATCTTAAGGTACCCAAATGTTCCACCTTGACTACTAAGTGGCTAAATTTTCACAAACTGACTGTGACCTGATTGTACATGTGGATGTATTTATAAAATAAACTGTTTTGTGTATAATGAAGCAATGTTGGCGGTGGAGGTGGCAGACTGAATGCAAACAACTTGAGGATATGATTCTACACACAGTATGTGTTGTATTTAAAATTAAAACTGCACCGTTGATGGATTAAATGCTCTTTTAGTCGAAAACCTGCAGCAGCAATGTGACATTTTTACTTAAAGTGAGATCCAAATTTGGCTGACATTGTAATGTGTGTACAAGCACCTCGTTGATTATCAGCCCGCGTACGAGGTCACGGAAGGCATCGCACGCTCGTCTCTCGTACACATTAGGACGTCAGTGGTATTTGATTTTCAGTGATATCATTGTTACTCGAATACCATGTTGACCTATCTCGATATTGTAATGTTTGGACGTTTGGTAGTACAAGAAATTAAGCAACTCGGTTTTTTGCATTCATTCTGAATCGACCTTAAGTTCTTACTGTTGAGGGGTTTGCAGGGGACCATATTCTTTTCTGATTTGAAACAGTTTTGATCATAAATTTTCTATAAATTTCGCCTCACTACAAATAGATTTGTAAATGGTCTTATCCCAAAGGTAACGATATTCACAGTGCCACTTTATACATTTTTGCATCAGTTTATTGGACTTAAGCGTAAATATTTATGGACCTCACTAATATTAACTCCATTTGTAAGTTTCTAAGCAGAATATTTGACGTATGGTTGTAACTGAGTTTTCTCTTGTCGAAAATGATGAGTAGTGCAGAGGACGTATTCAAAAGTTACGGCTCTTTAGAGTTAGTTCATTTATACACTATATCGTATGTTGTAAAGTGTGACATTTTCCTTAGGTATTAAGATGAATAAAAGTACATAGTTTTCTCAAATTTTGTTTTATTCCATTTTACCTGTCTTAACGATCGTGATTCATTCCTAACTGTAGGGATAGATACGAGAACTAATCCAACAAAATAACAATCTTTGTGTCTATTACAAGTAAACAGTGTTTCTTGTCCCGTCGTCAGTGTTGTCACCAGTTCACAACATCGTGGAGAAATTTCATGTCGGACACCTCTCTATAACATGTGAGGATTTTATATGACAAATATTGACTAATTTATCAAGAGGTCAGCGACCAGCTTTTTTTATACCGGAGCAGCCGCGTATACAACGAATGGGAGCAAAATTCCAGTTTTTTGGGAAGGTGTCGGATCCGTAAGATATTTGGAAGTGACTCGAAAGAACTGGAGCAGTTTTCTGTTGAGTTAATCACTGTACACATAAAAACGAATTTAAAACAAGGAAAATCAAAAGCTCACAATATTGATGGGTAAACATGGGTATCTCATCCTATGCTCCTCCAAGCACTGGAGGGACATGGAGTTAGGGGTGCTGTGTTAAGTGTATTTAGAGATTATTTAATACATAGGAGTCAGTGTGCCAGGATTGCGGACGTTCTAATTGAACCTAAGACGGTTCAGCATGGAGTTCCACAGGGTACAGTACTTGGACCAGTTCTTTTTAATATATATGTAAATTACCTCTGCAGTCTTGCAGTTGATGGCGATGTAATTGCCTATGCTGATGACACCGTGGTGGTGTTTCATGGAGAGACATGGGAACCAACGGGAGAAAAATTGAAGACTGATTTTGCAAAAATTAAAAACCTTCTGGACACATTTAAATTAACTCTGAATATAAAAAAAACTCATTACATTGCCTTCTCTATTACCATGGCTAATAGACCAGCATTTAACCAAATTAAACTTGATAACATTGATGAGCCTTTGAAAGAAGTAAATGAAATTAAATATTTGGGGGTTGTTGTTGATAAGCACTTGAAGTGGGACCGACATGTGCTGTATTTGTTTCTTTTCTTTCTTTTTGATATTATTGTGACACTTTTTTTCTGTGATCTTAGTTAAATCTATGACTTACAACAAAAATATGAAATTTTCTTTCATTTTGTGTATATCGTGTTTCATGTTTTGTTTGTATAGTTGAGTGATTTTATACAAAAATATATATTGCACGATATTTATCAATTAATTACTGTGTTGGTCTGTTTTTGCGCATACAAGTTTTTAAACTTAGGCGCTCATATATTATAGAGAAACCTTGTCTTTGTTTCGTTAATGTATAGATATATATTATTTTTATCTTGGTAAATTTGGGTTCTGCTGAATAAATGTGGTAGAGTTCAGGGCGTACTGTTCTCTCCAACAACAAAAAAAAACTCAGGGGCAACTTTGTGGTGAAAATTGAGCTTCAGTTGTGGAGCAGCTGAATCTTTTCAAATGGCTTGATACACTACGTTGCAACAACCTTCATAGCAGCAGCTCGATGCGAATGTGTGTATCTTCTGAGGTCGGTTTATTGAATAGCATGTGCGTCCTCCATCTTCCAATTTCCAGCTGACGGAGTCGAAAAGAAAAACGCACCAAATCTTAATACTGAATATTTCTTGATGGAACAGTTAAAGGTTATATGCCCTTTAACATTAACCAGTCATCTAAATAGCATTTTGAGACACTAGGTGGAAAAGATGGCGTCGAGTAAAGGATTAAAAGCTCAGCACAAGTTAAGCCCTATGAGAAAAAAATCATTACGTACATGTACAAAAGAAAAATTAAACCGATCAAGTCAGTCAAGTGGACCTATACAATTAGTCCATAGACATTCTTTCCCTGCCCTACGCGGTAGTTACTGTGTATCTGTCAACGTTGCCTCTTCCCATATCGTCGGATGCGGCGGGCGGCCACCGAAGCACCGCAGAACAATAAAATAGACCGTTACGCCGGACGCTAAACCCAGATAGCAGAATGAGACGCGTTTCGAAAACATTTCCTTATGATTCTGCTTTAAAGACAAATGTACGGGCAAACCTATGATGTGTAAAATATGGCTAATAGCTGCGTAGAATTACCGGTACTGGAGGCGTATAAATATACTAACATAAAAAAATGAGATATACTCTCCCTCCACTACACTACAACCCCTACCTCTAATTAACTAGATGTGGAAAGTAAAACACTGATTTGACTATTTAGTGAGCGTACTATCAGTGTTCCGTATACCTTGGGATTACCACACGTCTTGGGCGGCGGTAACCGGCTAAAACTATTAATTACTGTTTTCACGCCCTCGGCTGGCGGGCGTCGGGCGGCATGGCGTCGTGCATGCACGCCAGTCGCCCGAATTTACGATCGCCCCTAAACGCATTCCTAACCTATAAATTACGTTTTCGAACCATTTAACAAAATAAGGGGGTGCGAAATTGTTTTGTGGCTGAAATATCGGTCGCCGCCGACTCCGGTTACAGTTGTACCGCTAGTTCTAGACCCCGAATTAGTAGCGAGTTTGTTTTTGCATGCAAAATGGTTGTATAGGGCCTTTTTCAGAAGTTTTCGACACTTTTAGATGTGAGAAAAAGTAGACCAATGAAAACAGAAAGGAATGGCGTCAAGTATTTGGTTGGTCGGAAAGTTCTTGCGGTTTTTAACCTTCAAATTTAAAGGAGCATACGTCAGCTTCGACAAAACTTTATTAATCAAAATAAAAACCATTAGAATCGTTATACTTTTGCCAACAAGTAACAAGTTTATTTATGCCGCTATCGCAGAAATCCGGAGATCTGGAGGCGATGAACTAATTAAAGGAATTTTTGGCATCGTCATTTCTCGCGAAGGAAGTAGTCGATGTGTTTGAAAAAGTGGTAGTCCCAGCGACGGCAAGAGTTCCGGCGAGTAAGGTGGATGAGGCAAGCTCACGAACAGTTGTGCGCGAGTTTGTTTCCACCTGTGCCTTTAATTCGTCGTCGTCGAGATCATGTAGTGGTTTCTTCGCCAAATACATCGTTGATATTGCGAGCTGTCTCGGCAGCTTTTAGACCTAATTTGAACTGGAATAAGAAAATCCTCCGAATTTGCTTCTTTTCCTGACAAATAAACAAATTATCGTAAAACAACGACTAGAGAGAGGGATGAGAGCGCTTTAAAATGATATATAAAGTTGAAGAAATATGAATAAATTTCAGTTTAAAATACATCATTTGAAATATAAATTAAATTAAAAACAAATATACTATTTTTTGATCAGACTGAATGTATTTTGTGAGTGTTTTATTTTTGTTTAGATAACGTTCAGTAATATGATTTAGTAGTAGATTCTAAGCGAAAGTTAGAAAAACGAACCCATTTTAGAAATAAGTTAACTACGTGCATGTATGCGGAGGTATGCGGATAGGTTTTTAGCCAATGAACGTGATCGGGCAGTCGCACGGACGCGGGTCAGTCGAAACTCGAGACGTGTAACAGTGGTTATAGTATAGGCGTGATTTGAACTTACCAATCTATAGATGCGTAGTATTTCTGGGATCTAAAGCTTCTCAATAATAGGACGTCTTTCACTGCTGCCAAACATTACAATTCCCCAGCCCCTACAACGTCCAACCCCCAATTTTCAAACCTAACAAAGATTTTTCTGAAAAAACCATCAAAAAACGAAGTTTATTTTTTGGCCGTAGCTGAGCCGCTGCTGGATCGATTTTCAAAAACCTACAATCTTTTTTCGTCCTTGGTACAGTAAATTTCATAAAATCCCTACGGTATTTTCGAAGTTATAGGGGGTAACGATCAGCAGGCAGACAAACTAACAAACTGACAGACAGACAGATGGAAATGAGTGACCAATCGACAAAAAAAAAAACCGGTGGTAGGAGCAAGTAACAAGTTAGTCTCCATAATAGTCGAAACCTGAGGACTCGTGAATACGAGATGTGGCAAAAAAGTAATGAGACCTAGGGTACGCGTGTCAGTTCCCTCCCTTCGCTCAATGCGACTTTCAACTCCGGTAAGCAGCGGATTTTTGTGATTACTATTATTGAAGTTGTGTTTTGGTTGAGCGTCACAAAATTGAATAGCGGAATTTGGAGCAACGTTTTGCCATTAAATTTTGTGTCGGAGAATCGGCAACTGTGACACTTGAAAAGTTGAAAGAGAACTCCGCTCCAGCAGCCCTTCAACTCCTAAAACCCATTAAAGCATCGAGCGCGAGCACTCTTGTGAGACCAGACCGTCTTTCGACATTAAGAATCTCGAGTGACATGTTAAATATAAACAGATTTCCGTTCTTCAAATTTTGACTGAACACTTTACTTGACTTGCAGATGGGAAAGATCTGTACCAAAATGGTGCCGAAAAACCTCACAATTGAGCAGAATTCTTGACCTCAAAAGGAATTCCTGTGGTCCCAAAGCCCCCTTATTCACCTGATATCAGTCCCTGTGACTTTTTCCTTTCCTGAAACTGAAAAATGTTCGGAAAGGATATTATTTGGGGACATTGAGAACCGCGTGCGATACCGATACAAGGGAACTACTTTGAATGAGACAATTTGATATTCGGAAAAATAAATTTTTTTGTAGATAAAAAATCAGTATAATTACTTTTCTGGTACACCTCATAGATTGACGCGCGTAGACATCTTCCAGTTCTGTGCAGATACACATCGTCAATTGATCCTCGTGGAAAGCTTTCTTATGTTTCTTGTAGAATACGTATGTTTGTAAAGGAAACCTGGGAAATAAATAAAAAATAGCTGTTTTTCACATTTATTTGCTTAAATAAATTTTGTTTTGGCACCATTTCGATAATTTCATTACATCTGCTAGTTATTCTAGGCTCACAATTTGCTTACCGTCTAAATAATTAAACTCCAAAATATGTACAAGTTACACAATACATTAACAATTCGCTTAAAGTTAGATATGTATAAAACAAAATCTTATAAAAGTTTCATATATTCGCATAAGTCGATAAATCTCAAACTGTAGGCATATTCTAAATTCAATTGAGATCGATATAGCTCTCAAAATATATTAAATTGACATGTACAAAGTGCTTTCAAGTCCGAAAATACCATTCAAACCATGGAAGTAGTTTTTTAATAGAACATTTCGTGCTGAATGGCGAAGAAATCAGTGTAGTTCGCGATAAACAACTACAAGGATCCGAAATTATGATGAGCTTATCCTATATCAACGCAAATTAGGGATTATGATGCTTTATAATTGAACCGATTGTTTCAGAAACAACGCAACTATTTAGGTGTATCTAAATATGTAACTGATCAAAGGTACCTATAAAAAACAATTTTGATACCCATTTCAGTATTGTGTAATTCTACGCAGTTTTTGAAAAAGTATGTTTCTTGGAGCAAACCTCCATCCGCGCAACTTTGGGCTACTCTATAGATGTGGAAGAAATGCAATGTTGGCGAATAGTAGGCATAGGCGCTCCCTGGAATTTTTCTCAGCGGAGGGATCATCAATAAGAGATACCCTTTTGTGCATTGCATCCCCCTGCGTCTATGCTATTAAGGATAATAAGAATCTGAAAACGTAAATATTATTATTTACGTTTTTAGATTCAATAGTATAGTAGTTATACATCGCGTACTGCGCCCACAATCCGCTGTAATTGGGAACCGGCGACCCAAATTAGAGACCCTGAACCTCGGAAATTATTCATGGACAAACTTGGGGCCCATGGTCACTTTTCTTCTACGTGTTGATATCTACAAGATACTCCTTAAAAAATAGCGGAAACCCTTTCCCCATAAGATTTATGCGGGTCTTTTCTGTTAGCGGAACTATAATTCATTCGGAAATTATGATTTTCTCGTTAACAATAAAGTTTTACTTCACATAGAAATTAGCTACTTCCATATATTTGAGATGTTGTAGTTTGTGTCTTGGGGTCTCTCCATTGTAGAATAGTTCAACATGTAAATTTTGGTGAAAATTATTCAAAAGTTCAATGAATCTATTTTGGAAAATATTCCTTGTGGACGGAGGTTAGAAAATGATATGTGTTTGATATGATTACTTATTTGTTCATAATGTGTTTGGAAAGCATCCCTTATATTAGAAAGACAAATGAATTAGAATTCTTTTCAGAATAAATTTATATTTCAAAGCTTTAATATACAGAAAAATCTTAAAAACAAATATATCCGGAAGCATCATGGATCTGACTCAAAGACACAAGCCTTTGCGTATTGAGAAATGAGTATCCTAAAGAAACGTATGCATGACAAAAGAGCTAGTGCGGTAGTGAACAATTTTGTATAAACAAAAGCTCTTTGACAAGTCCATACGTTCAATTTGAAACGCCTTCTCAAAATATTGCACTTTCCAAGCTGGGTGATATAAGATTGAGATATGTACATTTTTACAATACATCTATAGTAGGTACAAAGAGGTTGTCGATTAACAACCGATCGAAAGAAGTGGTATTGTTGGTATACACATTGTACGTTCTGTCTCCGCCAAGAAGCTTGAGAACTTTTTCCGTTGCTTCGTATTAATAAATATAGCGAATCGTTCGTTTTTAGGTATACTAACAGACCTAACAGGATAAATGGAAAAATATTTTGGAACAAGTTCAATACAAAAGATGTCGAGCTTTAGGCTTGAAGATATTTGCATCTAAAGTCATTGAAGTCAACCTGCCGAAACGAGTAGATATGCCAAAGTCATTTTATCTGTCTTAAGGCAATCATTAAATTTATGCGAATATATTTTGCCTATTACAGTAAGGCTGATATAAGGTTCTTGAGATTGATTATTGGGATTACCTTAGACAGTAAAAATCCAACAAAGTGTGAAAATCGTCGCTCGAAGATCGTGGGTCTCCAGAAATTAAATTTCTGATGTGAAATATGTGTGCGAAAAATGCTTTTATTGACGTTTGCTTTGATTAGCTGTGACAGAACGTATAGCACTACAAAATTATCCAAAATATTGAACGGTAATTGATTCAAATCCGTTCATTGACACTTGTATCAAATGACTTTAGTTTGACTAGAGTCAATATATTCTACGACGATATGTGTCTTAGTTGTAAATGCAAAGAACTGTAGGCATTATAATCATGATGATTGATTGTATTGTCAGTAACGTAAGTTGAAGTAAAAAATATTCGTTGCTTTTAGATTCGTGTAGGCATTTTAGTTTGCCCTAAATTACCTGGTTTTATTTCCAGCAAAGATTTTTTCAAAAAGTGCGGAAATTGGATTTATCTTTAGTCATGCGAATCGGGTTGAAACAAATGTCAAGGTAACACATAGTGGTATCGGGATTACAAATGTTGTACATTTAATCTGTACTTTAAATATAAAGGATAGACGTACAGTTCTATACATTTAGGAATTGTTAATACTCATTCCAACATTTTCTTTAACATCCTATGATGATCTAAACAAGATGCGAATCGGTATGCGACGAAAAAATTCCTTTGATACCTGAAAAATAAAAGTAATAGAAAATGCCTTTGATTATGATTCCTCATCACATAAGATGCAACAGAATATGTTGTTGAAACAACCATCGTTTATTTTTCAGTAAGTACTACAAAGGATTTGAGCATAGACAATAATATGTATCAACTCTAAAATACAAGCAAAGAATTACAACCATTTTTTACAAATCTAACTGGACCATGCATACAGCGACTAAGCAATTGAATGAAAGCCATGACTATGTTAAAGAACAGGAATATTTAGAGCCTCTTGAATAATTCTCTGTTAATTCAGAATACGAGAAGTAGGCCAAAAGAGTTCAGGAAGAATTTGATGAATAAGCGTTCTTGCTGCACTACAGCAAAATCATTGTGTGTTTCGACTCTGAAAAAATCTTAAAGGACCGTATGTATTTATGAATTATGGTGAATGCACCTACTACATGAATACTACGCGCATCCACCATTATTGAAAATACAACTGAGGCAAGATGCAAGTACAGGGTGATACAAAACCCCTTGGGCGTATGCAGGAAAAAGTTCTGTAGGGAGAGCAGCAGGGTGTTCACGGGCTCATTTTTACTCATGCATTTTCGAGTGGTTTTTACTCATTTCTTTCCTCGAATGCTGATTTTTTTGAATCTATATACAGGGTGATTCACAAGTCGTGCCCAGTTTTCGCAAACTTCGTGATGAATTTAGTTAACATAATCGTCCCACAGAGCGTGGAACTCAATGGATTATCGATCGTTTTGAGGAAACTGGAAACTGGCTGACATCAGTGTGTTCCATACAGATTCAGCCCGAGATCTCTTTGTAGTGATATAATAGATCTCAATTTTTGACCAAGTTCATTATCATTTTTGTGCGTACTATCCTTTTAAGCTATGAAAATCAGCTCATATTATGATTTATATGCCTTGAGTTATCAACAATATTAAACAATTTCTGAAGTATAAAGTATAAGTTCACATTGCTTAATCTATGTTGCATGGTCCTAATAAACATATTACAGCATCTCATGAAAAATATACATTTTCAGTTTAGGAATGAATGCAACACATAATCAGTTCTGACCATTGAGTTTCTAGAGCAATTAGAAAGGGTATCACCGAAGGCATTGCAGGGACATCGCGGCAATCAGCAAGGCTGGGCATGTGCGCTCGAACAGACTTGTGGCTGCCGATCTGTGACCCCTTGCTGGCTCCGCTAGACCTGGAATATCACAAAGATTGCATAATTATTCTATTGCGATCAAGTGGACAAGACATGAGTTTTCTTTGTGTACATAACAATGGCATATGCGACTACCATATAGAAATATGTGTTCTTTGAAGAACTTTGGACGGACCATGCTAGCACATTTATGACACGTTTTACGCCAATGATTGTAAACCCGAAAAAATTCTATTAGCAAGCCAGATTTTTGAGCTTAATAATGTATCTATGATTGATGTCGATCGGATGAGCTGCTATTTACAAAAAAACAATTGTTGTCTTTGTTCCAGCTTTTGGATTCTGTCACCAAAGAATACTGTCGCCCGACCATTCAACATGTCAACATCTTCAAAGCTCTGTCCACCGAAGTATTGGGAAAAAGTAGATAGTCTGATGGTGGTCAGGTTTCTATGGAGGTTGGTCCAATAATTCCCAACGCCCCAGTTGCGCCTGTGTTCTTTTCCGCAAGATGAGGCCGAGCGTTGTCGTGAAGCAAAATGACGCAGCTAGAGAGCACTCCTCGATGGTTTTGAATAGTGCGCTTTATTTAATAAGCTGCTGGTAGGGATGCCTGAGCTATAATTTAAGAATGGTCCTAGTATTCTGCAGATGCCATATCTATATTTATTTCCTTGAACATTTGGCTTTACATGGGATCAAAACAAGCGCATGAATATTTTCAATTAGGACGGGTAGAAGCACCAGTTCTTGATGGCATGCTTTCTGTAGGTGTTCGAGATCAAAATCTATAACCCAGGTTAAAAGTCTGAGCTCGAGTCAAGAAATATAGCTTTTATATATAAGATTGATTTATATCTGTAAAAATACCTTCGCTCACTAAAATACTTTCGATCGAAATATTTTATAGGGAAAAAAGTGATCTACATTCTTTTAAATGATCATATTTCAAATTCGCAAATAATGGATATGCTTTAGAACACAATGTGGGTATATGCAAGAGCTTAAAAAAATCTCTATTTTGACTTTCCTCAAAGAAATAAATAGATGCTGTTTCAGATACGCAAGAAATTAGCGATTGGTGGGAGGTTTTGGAAATTGAAGATTTTTTCATAGAAATGAAGACTTTAAATTGTTCTTCAAAAACGTAAAGAAGTATTGCAGTTTTCAGGTACGTCTTCAAAAGCCATTAATGATTTTCCTCTACTACCTCTTAGTAACTATTTATTAATCAAATCCAATGACAGTTTCTCTGGTTTTTTTAACACTTACGTGGAAAGGGCATTCCCTTGTGTTCGCTTGAAGTGCTATCGATGGTGCAAAATGGTCCAATGTTGGAACCTACAAGGTGAAATGAAACTGCTCTTTCAATGAGAGCACTTAGATACTGATATATCACTGAATCCGTGTCGTGATATATTAATTAAATGCTTCATTGATCTAAGTAAGTTATAAAGAGAATGGAGGATAGGTAACAGTCAAGCAATGAGAGTGAATGGCATATTATCTTACTTGAGCATTGGCGAAAATTAAGACCCATGGCCATATTGGAATTTGAACTAAGTGCATCCAAAAATTGTATTTAGCTCTTACTATGCCTCATGAGGTATCTGGACTTTTTTTAATTACAACAGACTTTGGATGGGAAATTTCAACTGTCGTTAGGCTTTTTTTGATTCCATGCCTTTATTTACCAGATTATACGCCATATCGACCAATCAAAAATACCAAAATGGATCACCTACTTACGCGATAGTGGGGATTATTAATAATGATCACTGCGGACGCAAATGAACGGTGATTTATCGGGATTTGATCCGTTTATAATAAACGACACGTCCTTTTTGATTAATCACCATGCCTATCCGTATCGTTAGCTTTTTCGGATTGCGCTCCGTTCCTGCCGCATATGTGTGTATTTATCATACTTTATTTAATAATTCTATTAGTTCCCGCTGATGCTGATGGCAGTGATGTTCTGGATGCTGTTATTGACCCAGAAAAGTCAGAGATTGGAAATGGTTAATGTAACATCTGAAGCTTGTCCTGTTCTCGTATTATTCTGGCCGCCAAATGAAATTACAAGGCGGTAGGATAAGTCACATTGGAATATTTGTATGAAAATCAGTGCATATATATATATATATATAAATAATATTAAAATAAATAGAAAGCACGAGGTGTATAAACATGAAAATGAATTAGAATGAAACAATTCAACAATTTCAAATTCACATATTAAAAACTCTTCTATACAGTAGGAAGTTTTATCTAGTAAAATTTGAATTTTTCCTTTTTTAAATAATGTCAGCGGTAGTGATTTTAGATCAATAGGGCAGTTTATAGGAGAGCTTTAATGCCATGTTTTTGTTACGCCTCCGTTCTCCACCACATATGTGATGGCATCTCCAACATTTCTCTGTTTCTGGTACTTCCAGAATTTATAGAACTATAATTGTCTCGGCGTGTTTTGACGTAAATCAGTATATTTAGTATGTATACTGACGGCAGCGTTAGTATTTTCAAAGTTGTGAATAAAGCTCTGCAACTAAAGCGCCTTTCCACATTTGCAATAGTTCTAATAGCTCTTTTTTGTATCATAAAAAGCCTATGTAATTTAAAGGATGCTCCCTATGCTTCTATTCCACAAGCCAGAGTAGAATGGATATGCTATTAAAACATTAACAAAATCCACTTATCATCGATAAAACTCAACTGGTACATGTAATAGCAGAGAGGGGACTAACTTTCTCTATAGGCATTTTTGTGCTATGTAAATTCCAAAAAAAATGTAGTTTCTGCTTGCTATATCGAATTACCGCTCGATTTTATAGGGAGACTATGGTCCATGTACATATTAGATGTTAAATCTAAGGAACCTTGCCTTTTTGTGATGTAAGATCAGGCCGTTATTACTGAACCATTGCTCTGCACCAACTAAGTTTGTATTGAAATTGCTTACCACGGAGTCCAAGTTTTTGCAATTAACAATTGAGGTGTCGTCATCATACATTACCCAGGATTTGGAGGGAAACTGATTGACATATATTATGTATAAAAGTGGACCAAGCATGGAACCCTGCGGAACACTTGTATGGTATATGTGCTGGTCAGACTGTGCAGTCAGTACTTCAGCATAATGTTTTCTGTTGCTCAGATAAATGTGGAACCAGTCAAATGGCTTACCTCTGATTCCATATCTATCCAATTTATCCAAAATTATAATATAGACAACAAAGTCGAAAGTTTTGCCCAAGAAATATTCCTACACACTTTTCACCATTGGCCATTCCAAAATAGAGTCTATTAAGGAAATGAAGTACAGCGTTTTTGGTTGATAAACATTTTTTGTAATACAGATTTTGCTAAAGCTAGTTGCCGGTATATTCAGTCGATAGCGAGCGATATACCCACTAAGAAAATAACTCCGTTAATGTTGGAAGTTGAAAAAGCAATATTGTCAACTGAGATATACGTAATGTTCTTGGATATGAAACCTTATAATGCACTGTGAAGCTGCTCCAAATGCCATTAAACTTTAATACTGAGGTGTCTAATGTAACACAGTGAAATTTTATACTGGAATACTATGGAACTTTGTTTTCTAATACCTAAATTACTACAGAGTCATGTAATCACACTTGATGACAGCCCTCTGATTTCTCATCACGTTTTCTGAGACTATTTTTCTAGTATAAGAAGCGTTATTGATACGAGGTAACTCATTGATTGTGAAAAATATACAATGTGTTTGGTCACGACATACCGATATTCAAGGGGAGTATTTTTCAGCTATTTTTATCGACAAATCCACCCCCCTATAATGTCCTACCTTACCCCTCTTGAAATGGCAGCCATTTTTATTTTTACGTTACGATTACACTAGTGCATGTAAGAAAATTGTAATAACTGACTACATAAGTCTCACAAAATGATAAATTTGATGTCATTTGAACGATAACATGTTGCCTTGGCGATCATTGAAAAACTTGTACTAACCATTAAACATACTTAAAAACAGACAAAAAACAGAAAAAAATATGCAAGAAAATTGAATATTTTATGCATTTTCGCACACCATTCAAAAACTAGTCTGTGAAGTTGTACTTTTTTGTGCTAATGAAGAATCTTAACAAATTTGTTATCATAAGTCTTCTACGTTAAGTAATAGCTGCTATCTAACATTGGTGAAAATGGGTGTAATAAAATTCAAATTGCTTTCTAACTTTTTATACATAAAAATGACAAATCAATGTTTCTCATGAAGAGTTTGGACATGTTCAATGTTACAGAAGCTGTTCAAAATGTCCTCCATTATTGGTTATGGACATTGTTGTTCTTAAAACCATGTGTCGTGTTGAGCGGCGGACTATATCCGTGTCAGCTCTGATTCCGTTCGCAGCGGTATGGATCCTTTCCACGTCGCCGATAGATATCAGTAAACTTTTTGCTTCATTGTGCCCCAGAAATATGATAATCTGGCTCATGAAGATACTGATCTCTTCTAAAATGATAGGGATCTAAACCTTATCTCTTAAGGACTCTCCAAGCCGACCGATGTGACAAGAGTAGTCTTGCAGCGATCCTTCTCACACTAACTCTCGGATCGCGGGTAATCATGTTGAGAATATCTTCGTCATCTTATGGAGACAGTAGCCGATAACGGTAGTTACTGGCCTTTGAATCCCATTTTCCGCTAGTGTCAGGTATGTAAAGACAAAAGTCCTAACATTTTGCGTAACTCGGTCAGGCAATCGTCTTCGATATTCTCTCACAGCAACTGCGGAATTTCCATTGCAAAAGCCGTAAACAAACACCATATCAGCAGCATGGCTTTTTCTGTTTTTGTCTGTTTTTAAGTATGTTTGACGGTTAGTATCAATACAAGTTTTTCAATAATCGCTAGTACAACACGTTATCGTTCACATTACACGAAATTTATCATTCTGTGACACTTACAGGTATGTACTCAGTTATTACAATTTTTTACATGCACTAGCGTAATCGTAACGTATAAATAAAAATTGCTGCCATTTCAAGGGTGGTGAGGTAGGACATTGTAGGAGGGTGGATCTGTCGATAAAAATAGTTGGAAAATACACAAAGTATACTAAGTGACATATAAATCCGAATACCCAGTTTAAATGGTTTTATTTTAATAAAAGTTGGTGACAAGTGAACAAATTTTCAGCCTTATCAGTTGGACGTTCCGGTTTTTATACTGCTTTTTTTTAATTCACTAACGCTCTAAAAATGAATATTTCAGCCGCAGTAAAGAATCAACGTTGGCGGATTTTGGTTCTTGACATCCTTTACGATCGGTTACGATGCCTAGAGTACGGAGACCTGTACGATTTCGTCAACTTAGTGAGTTTGATAGGGGCCGTATAGTGGGACTTCGGGAAGCTGGACTTTCTTTTCGGGCAATTGCAGTTAGAGTGCAAAAAAGTGTAGACACTGTGGTTAGGTGTTGTCAGGCATGGCTTCGAGAAGGCCGTACGCAAAGAGCAAGGGGCACTGGACGCCGCCGTAGAACAACAGACCGTGAAGATCGCCGCCTAAGATTATTGGCCTTAAGGGACCGTTTCTCCACTACCAGGTCCATTGCAAATGAATGGTTTGCAGAACACGGAAAACCTATTGGCATGCGAAGTGTTTACCGACGAATGAGAAGTGTTGGCTTGTTTTCATACCGGCCACACTGGGTCCTCCCTTTAACTCGAGAACACCGACGTAATCGCCTTGAGTGGTGCAGACAACGGTCACTCTGGGATCAGGAATGGAACAGTATTGTCTTTAGTGACGAGTCTCGATTTTGTTTAGGCATGCACGATGGTCTGGCCAGGGTTAGAAGGCGACGTGGTGAAAGGAGGAATACACAGTTTTTTGTTGAAAGACATGTTCATCACACTGTTGGCGTTATGGTTTGGGGTGCTATAGCTTATGGTTCCAGGTCACCTTTAATCTTCATCAGAGGTAACATGAACGCGCAGCGTTATATCCACGAAGTTCTAGAACCCCATCTTTTACCCTATCTTGACACCCTGGCAGATCCAACTTTCCAACAAGACAATGCCCGACCACATGTTGCAAGAGTCACAATAGACTTCTTTCAACATAATGATGTCACATTGTTACCATGGCCACCAAGATCTCCCGACTTATCACCAATTGAGCACGTGTGGGATATGATGGGTAGGAGATTGCTCAATTTGCAAGGTCCTCCTCAGACTCTAGAAGCACTTCGAGAGGAGTTGGTGGTTGCCTGGAATGAGATACCACAGGAGGACATTGACCACCTGATCAGAAGCATGCCTAGGCGCGTTGGAGAATGCGTAGCACATCAGGGTGCATCCACACATTATTAAAGGTCAAAGGGCTTTAAAGCAGTGCAATCACTTTGAAATTTTTATCATTTACTTATTATGCTTCATTAAGTACTTATACAAAATTTTATTAAAATAAAACCATTTAAACTGGGTGTTCGGATTTATATGTCACTTAGTATATAATCTGTTCACGAACGTAGCCCTGGTTGTGAAGGGCTATTTCGAGACCTAGGTAACCTGTTTCCGAATCGCTCACTATAAAACTTTTATGATGCTCAGTGACCCACTGATTTATTCAACTTGACATAGGGCAAAAGTTTTGATATGAACGTCATCACATAGATTGATTTTGGCTTGTAAAAGGTCGATGACAAGGGCTCTCTACACATTCAAGTTTTAGCGCTATGAAAAAATGTATTAAATATGTAATATTCTCTACATACAAATTCAACGACAGAATAGCTTTGAGGTTTATAACTTAATAACTTACCTCCAACTATGACATGATTATTATGCGATACAGGACCAACTTTTATCTCTGAAAGAAAATAAGATAGATTAGTAATCATATTATAAGAACGAAACTTTTATTTAGAATAGTAACCATTATTTTAAATCTGTGCGATATAATACTGAAAAATCCACGCAAACTCCAAGGATATGATTTTAAGCAAGACACATTTTTGTTTAGCTTTATTTTATTAAAACTATCTGTCGATTAAATACCATACGACAAAAACGTTTCCTCTATAACCTATTAGGTGCTTTTGAATTGTAACGGTCTGTATAAAATACCACTCACTACTGCCTTGATCACAGGTGGTTTCATGCTACAAAATGTCAGACATTCTGTCAAAATTCAAAGTGCCAAAATGTTTCACCAAACGTCACTAATCTTAAAAATTAACTAACTCAATCTCGAACAATGAAATCCGGTGATGGAATCACATTCAGCAATGCAATAAAGGTCTATCAGGTACGTCAGTTTTTTCTATATTTCAAATATATTTCATTAAAAAAATACCAGATTTCTAAATTAGATTTCTTTGGTTTAGAGCGCGAACAAGTCTACACGTTTTTCTTCCCTTGACTTGTCTACATATTCTTTTGGCCAAACTAGCCAATGTATTGTTCCTTATTGAGGTATCTGCAATTTATCGTCCGCCATGTTCAGAACCCCACGAGTTTTTAAAGAATATCGAATTTTTTTTTCAAAATCAAAATAAAGTTCATTTAAAGCAACATATTTTCTTGGGAGATGTCAATATAAATATTTTGGACGATGATCCCATCACAAATGAATACTTGAATATCCTATCAAGTAACGGATTTCTGTCCTATATAAACCTACCTACAAGGTCCATCAGTGGCACATGTATAGATCACTGCTTTGTGAAAGACCTATCCAACAAAATTACTTGTATACCAATAATCCTAGAAAGCGATATTACTCCAAAGACACTAGTCAAAACGGCAAATCGGGCTATTGGTGGTTATCAACGAATATAAGTTCGAATTTTCGACTATTCTCAAGGGCTGGTAAAGCGTAAAACTCGAAGATAGATGTAAATAAAAATGGAGAAAATTAAATACTCTCATTTCGTACTGCCAGACCGATTGTTAATTCATTCTTTATTATTATTATATTACTGACCACTTCTCCACTATTTTACTGATATCTTCAAATGAAAAACATTCTAACATCCCTACCGTTAGTAACAACCAGGAAAATTACAAATTTTTTGTCGACAATTCAAAACTAATATCAAATGTCAAACAAGAATCCTGGGAACAATTATACTCTATAAATAATATAGACAAAGCAACGGGACTGTTCATAGAGAAAATAAAAAAACTAATAGATATTAGTACCAATAAAGTAATAATTAGTCACAAAGAGAAAAGCAGAAATGCCTGGATTACCAAAGGATTAATAACATCGGCAATAGAATAAGAAAGACTATATAATGTAATGAAACTAACGCCAACTACAGAGAATACCGACTGCTACAACCAATATAAAAATAAATTTATAGAGCTTGTAAGGCAAACCAAACGAAAACATTACCTAAATAAATTGAATAATAACTTAAATGATCCTAAGCGGCTTTGGACAACTATTGATGAGATTACCGGGAAAACAAAAGTTAAAGAGTGTGTCACTGAGTTAAATACAACATCGGGAACAGTATTAAAAAATACTCAACAGATATGCGATGAATTTGTACAATTCTTTACTGACATAGGCGAAAATTTAGCAAGTAATATACAAGCAAATGTACAAAATACTCAGCCTCCAAAAAGAACTTTGAACTCATTTATTTTGGATAAAGTCGAGCAATGTGAAGTATACACCACTGTTATGTCCTTAAAAAATCGGAAAAGTCCTGGGTTCGATGGTATTAAAAGCGAGCATTTGAAAATTATATCCGAGGACATAACAGAACCACTCACTTACCTAATCAACAAATGCTTTGAATCTGGCATATATCCCTCAATTTTAAAAAAGGTAATATAATACCGATACATAAATCAGGAACAAAAACAGATGTTAACAACTATAGACCAATATCAATAATATCCAGTGTAGCAAAGGTTTTTGAAAAAGTTTTATCTACTAGAATGATTCGATACCTCACAAAATTCAAAATTTTAAGTGAAAATCAATATGGATTTACAGAAGGGAAGGCTACATCGGACGCAATAACTAAAATTGTAAATCAAATACATCAAAATATTGATAACAGAATCCCTTCAATCTGCATTTTTGTTGATTTAAAGAAAGCTTTCGACACAGTTAATCACAAACTATTATTAGAAGCATTGGAGAGAATTGGTTTCAGAGGAAACGGGTACTCACTGATCGAAAGTTATTTGTCAAATCGCCCACAATCTGTGCAGATGTAAGGATCATTTAGTAAAGAAATTTATATTAAGTGTGGTGTCCCACAAGGAACTGTCTTAGGTCCGCTGTTATTCAATATATATTTAAATGATATTTTCCAAATTAATTGTGTTGGCAAAATAACTAGTTTTGCAGATGATACTGCAATATTATATGAAGGCACTGACTGGTCTGATCTGAAAAATGTAATTGAAAATGATTTTATCAAAATTATTCGGTGGTTTAACAGTAGAAAATTAAGCATTAACTACTCTAAAACACATTTTTTACCATTTGGATCTTATGCTAGACATCTGCCAAATTACACAAATTTCTCCTTCAATATTAATGATCAAAAAATGCAAATTAATAGAGTGCCCAACATAAAATACCTTGGAGTGGTCTTGGATCCTCACTTACGATGGGACATCCATGTCAATTATATTTTAAAGAAAGTTAGATTTGTATCCTACAAAATTAAATACCTTGGGAATATATTGACAGAAAAATATCTTCGAACATTACACCATGCACTGATTGAGAGTCATCTCACATATGGTATATTAGCATGGGGAGCTGCATGTTCCTCACATATCTATAATTTAGATGTTTTTCAAAAAAGTATTCTAAAAATGATATTTAAAAAACCGAAACTTTATCCCACTGAAAAATTATACGCAGATGTTCGAATGTATGATATAAGACAGCTTTATTTCTTACACAGTATCACTCACTACCATAAATTTGTAAACACCGACCAAAAAATTAAACATAATCATTATACCAGGTACAAAATTCGTGGCACAGTAGTTCCTCAACCGCATAAATCTATAATGCCGCGATCATATCTCTATTTAGCGCTTAAATTTTATGAAATTATACCTAAAGACTTAAAAGATTTACGTTTTGGAAATTGTTTCAAAAGAAATTTAAAAAAGTGGCTACATTCTATATCTAGGACTGAAATTCATAAACTCATAAATACGAACATCAACTAAATACATAATCTACTGTAGCTAATTTTTGTCCTTTTTTGTCATTTGCATTCTACAGTTTCAACTTAAATTTATTGGTCCATGTACAGGCGATGCCTTCTATTGGGCCTGTTTTGATTTTATATTTATTTACTCATATTGTTTGTTATCTTTGTACATTGAGTGAATAAATATTATATTATTATTATTATGCTACTTCAAATGAACGAGGAAGCTGGAAAAATTTAATTTCGTACAGATACTGAAGAAAGTGAAGTTTGCAAGGAAACCTAAGTTGGATATTTGAAAAAAAAACAGACCTTGTGGATAGATTGAGGCTTCTTATTTATGTATTCATTCCAAAACATTAACAAAATCGATTCATCGCTTACTGGGATCACACAATGGTACCAGACAAGGCGTCGGTTACACTGCCAAACAAAGTGACACATAGGCCAACAATATACAGGTCTTTAATTGTAATACAGAGTGTCCGCAAAGTTGGGGTTTTCCTTTTCAGAAACAACTACCCTTGAAATATCAAAGGTAATGTGTAGTGAAACGAGGGCGACCAAGTAAAAAAAAAATAAAGGAAAAAGTACTCACTCTCCAGTTGACGAGAAGGGCTAAGTACGTCTCTGCCCGAAATCATACCGCTCCAACAGAAAATGAAATCAGCTGAAGCGCTACCGAGCAGACGCAGAAACCACATTGATTGTCTTACACTTAATGGCACATATTCTAACAAGGAAGGCAAAATGTTGCGTGAAAAGTCTATTCTCTAGGCGCTGAAGAAAGAAACTAAACCCAAACAAATACACGCATATGGCTCGTGGGTGAGTGTTTAGGCGCAGGAGACATTACAGGACCGCATCAAGATATTATGGGTAGTCATCAAAAATTTCATACAAGATAATTATTATCTTTTACAGTAAATTTCAGTTAGAGATTCACAAATGAGTTAACTACACTTTTTAGTTATTAGTAAGTAAGCTGCGCGCACTCATTCAGAAGAGGAACTTGAATCTTCTGAATCGTTTAAATGAATTATTAGAGGTTCAATTTGGGTATCGATGACATTGTCCAAATCCCACATTTTGACCTCAACCTCCCGAACGTGGCGGATACAGTTTTTCCATTCCTCTGCCGTAACTCTATTGACTGCGATGTGAAAGAGATTTTTAACATCAGAAAATTTATAAGTATTATTATTCGACGCCACGTATTGCTTTATGTTGGCCCAAATCAGCTCAATAGGGTTCAGCTCACAATGGTAGGGTGGCAGTCTCAAGACAGTTTTATTTTGTTTTTTGGCCATTTCGTCGATCATTTTAAAATCGTATTTGTATTTATGTCTATTGACTATACTTATCAATTCACCCTTGACCATTGTTTCATCAAAATCGATCTGTTTTGAGGCCAGCCATTGTTGTATGTTTGCTTTTTTAGTTGCCATTGTGGGAATTTTTTCTATTTTTCTAGAATGGTACGGGGCATTATCCAGTACAATAACAGCGTTATTCTCCAGCTTTAGTAACATTTTGGAGAACCAATTTTCAAAGGAATTGCCGTCTATCTCCTCATGATAGTCCCCTGTCTTTTTTGATTCAAAGGCCCACAGTGCTTCGGGAACAAAGCCGTCTTCACTACCTACGTGACAAATGATCAGCCGTTTGCCTTTTCCTGGAAATAAATTATTCCTTACACTATGGATTGATTAAATTTGAAGGAATGAGGCAATTGAGTTCATTTAGCTGAATTTAAGAGTCACGGAATGCTGATCAAAAACTGAAAAACGTAGAAAATTGAAGTTTGCAACTTCTCAAAACCCATTCAAAGCAAATTAACTGCACCCAAAAATGATAATAAATTTCAAAATAACGCTTAAAAGAGGGTCGAAGTTTTTTTCCTAATGACTACACTGCGAATGCACCATTTTTGGAGAATATCACACATTATCTGCTATCACAGCATATTATTTGCCCGAATTTATCAAAATTAAATTGCCGGATAGATGAAGGAGCTTACCTGCAGGATTTTTCAATCCAGCCGAAAGACCGTCTAGAAAAGCCTGCCTTGATGATGTTACTGATTTGTCGACCCAAACTTTCGCTTGAGTATGTCCTGCATTCACCCACGTTTCGTCCAAATAGTAAATTTTTCTTTTTTCATCGCGAAACTTCCGAATCTTCCTAAGGTATTCCCTTCTCCACACAACAATTTCTTCTTTCTCTATTAACATACTGTTTCTTCCCCGTTTCAAGAATCGAAAATTAAGTTCCTTCAAAAGTTTTCGGAATGTGGTTCTTTTAAATGATGGAAGATCCTCATCAGCATTAACTAATCTTAATATCTTATCTACTATAGGTATCTCATTTCGGAAGAAAAAATTATGCACTTTCCTCCTGATGGCAGTTCTGTCAAAGTCATCTACTCCGTCCGTTATCCTTTTTCTTGCAGGATACGGTTTTGGCTCAGAAAGTGAGTGAGTGCTCCTATATTCCTTAATGATCCTATAAACACTGGACCGACATACTCCAGAAATATGTGCTACCTTACATATAACTTCGTCCACGACCAAATCGGGTTTTTCTTGAATTTGGTTTTTGTATATATTTAATATTATTTGTTTTTCATTTGCACTTAAATGTAGCTTCTTAGCCCTTTTTTTGGGTGGGGTTGCGCTGATGTCAACCACTTCGTCGGCTGTATCTGTGTCAGACATCGTATCTTAGGCAATATATAAACAAAACGTTCCACTCGCGAAAAACGAGTATACGCTACTGAATGCGTAATGCGTATGCAATGCAATCCTGTGCGTGAATTAACTGTTAGATGCCTGTCGTGTCATCTACAATCACGTTTACAAGTCCAAACCTGTGCAGATTCGTAGAGCGCCGACGACTGCTAGTGACCTTGAATTTGTCTGTAGATCGATGTTACTCCAGTCAATTTAGATTCAAAGTGGATGTTTTCTAAACCAATTTGTTGTTCCTACATCAAAAATATATCGATGATGTTTTGTACTGGGAGCTCATGAAAGATCAAGGTAACTTATTTTAACAGTCATCCTTTTTCTAGTCTCAAGATGACACGAAAAGGGGTCTGTGGATTCACTAGAAATACACTGCCGAGGATGTTTAGACCTAAAGTGACTGGAGTATATCCGTGGATGCTTTCGAGGGATCTGTTCACGTGCTGATCACTGTTTACGTTTAATGTCTTTATTCAGCGCCCAGAGTATAGGTATTGCATCCCGTCCAATCGATTTGGGAGAATAAATGGTCCAATGAGCATACCGTTCACCATGCCAACCCAAACATTCACCGAAAATGTTTGTTGAAAATGACCAAACATGAGTGTTGCAAAAGTTATTCACCCCATTACGCGTGAACGCAGATTCGTCTGTCACCAATATGCACTTCAAAAAGTCCGGATTATTGTCATGTTGATGCAACAACCACTCACAAAACCGCACTCTTGCTGGAAAATAGTCAGGTTGAAGGGCTTGTACACGTTGGACGTGAAACGGATACAGCCCCTCTTCACGCAGCGTTTGCCACACTTTAGTTTTTGATACTTGCACTTCTCTAGCCACGTCTCTAGTGCTTGTTGTTTTTTGAAACGCAATCGATTATACGAGTTCGTTGACCTCTACACGCGTGACTGTAGCCGTCGGTTGAAGGTTGCATACTAACCTGACACACTGACCCCGACCCAGTTCTGCCGTCGGGTTGAGACCTTGTACCAGTCGGGGTGTCGGGGATATCCCGGCGGGTCGCGGCTACAGGACGTATTCAGATATTTTTGATGTTGCAGAGCCCTTTATCTCGGTTCCCTTAAGACATTGGTGGATATGGTACTAAGAAAAATTGCTTATGTTTTCAAGATCTACACGTCGTGTAAAGGAAAACCCCAACTTTGCGGACACCCTGTATATTGGTCTATGCGTAAAGAGCAAAAACTATAATCTTTTTTTATCAAAATGTTTTTTATCATAGATTCGGACCCAATCACGAACACACACCACATTAGAAAGAAACAAGAACTACGAAGAATTTAGAGATGTCTACAATTCCGTTTTGTCCAGCAAGAAAAACTATGTCAAGGATGTAAAGAAAGTACCAGCGAAACGGACTAATATCACAGCTAGACCAGCAATTGACATCAAAACAGTCAGGGTTGAGGTTCCTGCATTTGGTACCGAAAACGCGATTTTACCACTTAAAGAGCACGTTCCAGTTAAGTCCAGAAGCAGTTTAAAACCCATTTTGAAGAACAAAGTTTCCAAAGATGCTTGCGTTGCTACTCAAGACATCGTCAAGAAACTTAAAGACATTGAAAAGGAAGTGACCGAGAAGAAAGCGTCTGCTCATGCTATAAAACGATGTCCGACATCCTTCCTGCAACAAACCCATCAAGAATTAGATGTGGCTGGAAAACAACTAGAGGAAATTAAGAATATGATGGAGAAGAGACAGGAAGAACAGGAAAAACAAAAACGCCAGCAAGAAAAACATAAAGCTGGTAAACTTAAATCTTCCGTCTCTTATAGACCTAAGAGTAAGACAAGACACGACTGTGTCAGCAAAAAGTATTTGACGACAATCTCTATGATGAAACAGAAACTGGAGCAGCTGGAAAAGAAATACTTTGCTAAGCCTAGAGTGGTATACAAGAGCGTCAACGATACCTTCACTCAATCATCTAACGTCGAAGTGTTGTATGAGAACGCCCAATATCCTGAAGATACCAAGATGGACGACGCACTCAAAGGTATCATCAATGAACTGGACGACATGGTCAACATGGATAGAGAAAACGCGGCCAAACCTAGAGATTTGTCATTCCAAACACCGCAACAGGATGAACCGAAACGCGTAGAACACGTATCTAGGTCACCTGAAAAGAAAAATTCAATTTCTAAATTGATCGATACGTCAGAGAACCACTTGAAAAGGTACCAAACCATGCGTCAAGAGATCGTCGATGTGGAAGCGTTCTGTCAGCAAATCTGTAACTTATCCAAGGACTCTGAAGTCCAGATAGAGAGGAAGCCTGAACAGGTAGCTGGAGTGGAAGGAAAACTTACAAGGCATGAACAAAAGTCAAAAAGTATGTTCGACGGCACCAACTTGCAGAATTCAGTGTTGAAATCGTCTTATTTGATGAAGGAGTTTAAGATCGAGCGCACGGTGAGAATGACCTCAGATGCTCAAGCACAATTGAGGAGCAAGCGTAGATTTAGGGATATGTCCAAGAGGGAGGGAAGTATTACCGCCCTGATAAACAGTCTCAACAGTGCTCTAGAAAACTCTATATACAGTAATGCCGAAATATGATTATGTACCTGTCAATTGGTGTAATACATTTTTGTCATTCAATTTTCATTTTTTTCCGCCATTGGAGAAAGTAGTAATATAGATTTCGGCCGTCCGACCACAGATGGCCAACCATGGAACGCTGTTTCGTGCTTTTTAAAAACTCATCAGCATGGTATAGGTTTGGTCAGACAACAGACTAAAACTGAGCAACTATCCTCTATCCAGGATGTAAGGTCTATCGGAATAAGACCAGAATCGGCCACTACGAGAGTGAAACAGCAAGTGGGAGCGATATCTCAGTTTGCATTCGACAGCTGGGTCACTGCGCATTCTGGCGATACAGAAGATACAGTGCCAGCAGATAGTTAACTATTTCACTCTCGCAGTTGTCGATTATGGTAATAGATAACACCTTGTGCTGTCTTATTTCGATAGAGCTTATATCCTGGATAGAGCATGGTTGCTCAGTTATCGTTTGTTGTCCTGCCTGGGACCAAGCCTAGGCGACATTGTACTCCGATTTCGATATCCAAATTCTCCAAAGAAAAGCTAAGGTTAAACTGGAAAATACAGGGTGTTTCAGTTTATTGTTGCATAACTTTAAGATTCGATAGAACTTTTAAAATTAATGCATAAAGTCTATATAAACATGGGTCGAAAAATGCGTGGCTTCCGAAATACAGGGTGTTTAAATTTACTTTCTAAAATAGTTTTTTTTTAAATATTTCGAACAATAATTGATGTATAACAGTAAAAATTGGTATACAAGGGTTTTTTGGTACGACAAAACGAACCATGGGCATAGTTTTACTGTAGCTGCTAGAGGGCGCTCTATACTGTACCTGTAGTGTATTAAAATGACCGAAAATTTTTTCTTAGAGCAATTTTTTGCTTTTTGAATAAAAAAACTGATTCTCCGCGCTTTTCAACATAAAAAAGCTTTCTTGTAAATTTTTGTTATAGTTAGCCGTTTTTGAGATATTTCGATTTTTAAGGTTCGATCCATTTTTAATTATTTATGATAAAATAACGTTAAAAAGTCAGTATCTCGATAATTTTTAGAAGTAGGCTGTCCCTGCAAATATTTTTGAAATTGAAAGCAGAATAAGGTTAAACGTCAATTAGTTGACAGTTAGTTTTGTTGTCTGTTGAAACCTGAAACGTTTTTTTGCATTTGTGAATGCACGAAATTTAGTTTCTTTTACCTGTCTTTTTTTTGTAAGTTTTATAAAAATGCCATTTTTATTCTCCAATCAAGAGTTAGCGAATATTCATTTTGTGTATGGCTTTGTAAATGGAAACGCAGCAGAAGCAGCCAGAGAATACGCACGAAGATTTCCAAACAGACGACATCCAACTCGTTCATTATTTGTAAGAGTGCATCGCCAAATAATTGAAAATGGTTTTGGACATCTCCAAAGGGATAAAAACGTAAATGTTCGTCAGCGCAGATTTACCTGTATGATTCTGCGTGAGTTTGATAGAGATCCGACCACAAGTGTTAGGAGAGTTTCTGGTGCCTTGCGAATTTCAGCAAGCCATGTTCACCGTGTTCTTAGAAATGACCATAGACGTCCTTACCATTTGCAACCTGTGCAAGGACTACAGCCAGGGGACGGAGAACGAAGAATCACATTTTGTCAGTGAATTCTTGATAGAACTGATAATAATAGGGAGTTTTTAAGTAACGTTTTATGGACCGATGAGTCATGATTCGCTAGACGTGGAGTGTTAAATTTTCATAATCAACATATTTGGTCGCATGAAAATCCGCATGCAGTTCGAGAAAGAATTTTTCAGCATGAATTTCGTGCGAACGTGTGGATTGGTATCTACCGTAATCGACTATTTGGACCGTACCTTTTGCTTGCAAGGTTAAATGCTGCGACCTTCTTGGAATTTTTAAAGGCTGAACATGCAAATATGTGGGATGATGTTATGTTAGATTCAAGAAGATTGGCCTGGTTCCAGCTTGATGGTTGTCCAGCTCATTATTCGAGAATAGTTAGAAACTGGTTGGACTAAAATTATCCAGAAAGATGGATCGGCCGTAGAGGACCAGTCGCCTGGCCTCCACGGTCCCCTGACCTAAATTCATTAGATTTCTTTGTGTGGGGATTTCTAAAAGAAAAAGTGTACCAGACTCCCGTAACCACAAGAGATATGCTAATAGACAGAATCAGGAATGCATGTGATGAAATAAGGCCTTATTTGAATAATGCTATACCACGTTCGATCATTCGTAGATGTGAATTGTGTATTGAACAATTGGGTTTACATTTCGAGAAACTACTTTAGATTTTGTATGTTTGTCCTAACTATCCAATAGCATTTTAGTTGTAAATAATTAATTTAATTTGTTAAAAATAATATTGGAAAATTAAACAAATTAATATTCTGTTTTTTGTGTTTATTTGGAGTTAGGAATTATTGCTGTGTTTAAAAACACAATCTAAGCGATCATCTTAATTACTTGTAATGCCCAAATCGAAAATGTAAAAAAAATATTATTTGCACATAAATAATTAAAAATGCATCGAACCTTAAAAATCGAAATATCTCAAAAACGGCTAACTATAACGAAAACTCACAGGAGAGCTTTTTTATGTTGAAAAGTGCGAAGAATCAGTTTTTTTTATTCAAAAAGCAAAAAATTGCACTAAGAAAATTTTTTCGGTCATTTTAATACACTACAGGTACAGTAGAGAGCGCCCTCTAGCGGCTACAGTAAAACTATGCCCATGGTTCGTTTTGTCGTACCAAAAACCCCTTGTATAGCAATTTTCACTGTTATACGTCAAATATTGTTCGAAATATTTAAAAAAACTATTTTAGAAAGTAAATTTAAACAATTTCGCAAGCCACGCATTTTTCAACCCATGTTTATATAGACTTTGTGCATTAATTTTAAAAGTTCGAATCGAATCTTAAAGCTATGCAACAATAAACTGAAACACCCTGTATATACTGCAATATATTTTTTACTATTTCGTTTTATAAAAATGTAACGTCTCTTACCACCAAGCCTTTAACTTTTGTCCTAACATGTTTATATGCCAAAAAATAAAAGACATAACGATGCACATTTCCATAAGGGCATCTAATTGTTCTGAAAAAATTGAAAAAACACGTTTCTAAGTAGTAATAGGTAATATAATTTGTGCATGTGCAAAAATCTTCGTCTTCGACTCGGATTTTTGTTGCCACCAGCACTCATGCTTCTTGTTAAAAAATATTATTTTGCATTGTGTTTTTTCGATTTTTTTCACAGGAGAAAATTAGATGCCCGAATGGTATTTGACAAGACTACTTCATGAGTAGATGAGTGACATAAACTGTTTCCATATTGACGTATGAGCATCAACGTTATTGTACGGTACATTTTTCTCAATCGCCTGATCAACATTAGTTAAAGATTCACCTCCAAAGGACTCGTTTTTACTACATAAGCTGAATAGTACTGTTTAAAAACAATGTTACAAAATATTTTGACAATAAAATCAGAAATAGAGTACCATTGTTCCATCTAGAAACCATTTGTAATTCAAAATTGCGCGTTTGCGATTGGTAGAAATTAAGACGAGCGAAATAGTCAGCAATAGATGGGGTATTGCCTTAAATTATAAACATTTCGAGATACATAGGACTTTGGAGTAAACTATTACTCCAAAGACACTAGTCAAAACGGCAAATCGGGCTATTGGTGGTTATCAACGAATATAAGTTCGAATTTTCGACTATTCTCAAGGGCTGGTAAAGCGTAAAACTCGAAGATAGATGTAAATAAAAATGGAGAAAATTAAATACTCTCATTTCGTACTGCCAGACCGATTGTTAATTAATTCTTTATTATTATTATATTACTGACCACTTCTCCACTATTTTACTGATATCTTCAAATGAAAAACATTCTAACATCCCTACCGTTAGTAACAACCAGGAAAATTACAAATTTTTTGTCGACAATTCAAAACTAATATCAAATGTCAAACAAGAATCCTGGGAACAATTATACTCTATAAATAATATAGACAAAGCAACGGGACTGTTCATAGAGAAAATAAAAAAACTAATAGATATTAGTACCAATAAAGTAATAATTAGTTACAAAGAGAAAAGCCGAAATGCCTGGATTACCAAAGGATTAATAACATCGGCAATAGAAAAAGAAAGACTATATAATGTAATGAAACTAACGCCAACTACAGAGAATACCGACTGCTACAACCAATATAAAAATAAATTTATAGAGCTTGTAAGGCAAACCAAACGAAAACATTACCTAAATAAATTGAATAATAACTTAAATGATCCTAAGCGGCTTTGGACAACTATTGATGAGATTACTGGGAAAACAAAAGTTAAAGAGTGTGTCACTGAGTTAAATACAACATCGGGAACAGTATTAAAAAATACTCAACAGATATGCGATGAATTTGTACAATTCTTTACTGACATAGGCGAAAATTTAGCAAGTAATATACAAGCAAATGTACAAAATACTCAGCCTCCAAAAAGAACTTTGAACTCATTTATTTTGGATAAAGTCGAGCAATGTGAAGTATACACCACTGTTATATCCTTAAAAAATCGGAAAAGTCCTTGGTTCGATGGTATTAAAAGCGAGCATTTGAAAATTATAGCCGAGGACATAACAGAACCACTCACTTACCTAATCAACAAATGCTTTGAATCTGGCATGTATCCCTCAATTTTAAAAAAAGGTAATATAATACCGATACATAAATCAGGAACAAAAACAGATGTTAACAACTATAGACCAATATCAATAATATCCAGTGTAGCAAAGGTTTTTGAAAAAGTTTTATCTACTAGAATGATTCGATACCTCACAAAATTCAAAATTTTAAGTGAAAATCAATATGGATTTACAGAAGGGAAGGCTACATCGGACGCAATAACTAAAATTGTAAATCAAATACATCAAAATATTGATAACAGAATCCCTTCAATCTGCATTTTTGTTGATTTAAAGAAAGCTTTCGACGCAGTTAATCACAAATTATTATTAGAAGCATTGGAGAGAATTGGCTTCAGAGGAAACGCCTACTCACTGATCGAAAGTTATTTGTCAAATCGCCCACAATCTGTGCAGATATCAGGATCATATAGTAAAGAAATGTATATTAAGTGTGGTGTCCCACAAGGAACTGTCTTAGGTCCGCTGTTATTCAATATATATTTAAATGATATTTTCCAAATTAATTGTGATGGCAAAATAACTAGTTTTGCAGATGATACTGCAATATTATATGAAGGCACTGACTGGTCTGATCTGAAAAATGTAATTGAAAATTATTTTATCAAAATTATTCGGTGGTTTAACAGTAGAAAATTAAGCATTAACTACTCTAAAACACATTTTTTACCATTTGGATCTTATGCTAGACATCTGCCAAATTACACAAATTTCTCCTTCAATATTAATGATCAAAAAATGCAAATTAATAGAGTGCCCAACATAAAATACCTTGGAGTGGTCTTGGATCCTCACTTACGATGGGACATCCATGTCAATTATATTTTAAAGAAAGTTAGATTTGTATCCTACAAAATTAAATACCTTGGGAATATATTGACAGAAAAATATCTTCGAACATTATACCATGCACTGATTGAGCCTCATCTCACATATGGTATATTAGCATGGGGAGCTGCATGTTCCTCACATATCTATAATTTAGATGTTTTTCAAAAAAGTATTCTAAAAATGATATTTAAAAAACCGAAACTTTATCCCACTGAAAAATTATACGCAGATGTTCGAATGTATGATATAAGACAGCTTTATTTCTTACACAGTATCACTGACTACCATAAATTTGTAAACACCGACCAAAAAATTAAACATAATCATTATACCAGGTACAAAATTCGTGGCACAGTAGTTCCTCAACCGCATAAATCTATAATGCAGGGATCATATCTCTATTTAGCGCCTAAATTTTATTAAATTATACCTAAAGACTTAAAAGATTTACGTTTCGGAAATTGTTTCAAAAGAAATTTAAAAAAGTGGCTACATTCTATATCTAGGACTGAAATTCATAAACTCATAAATACGAACATCAACTAAATACATAATCTACTGTAGCTAATTTTTGTCCTTTTTGTCATTTGCATTCTACAGTTTCAACTTAAATTTATTGGTCCATGTACAGGCGATGCCTTCTATTGGGCCTGTTTTGATTTTATATTTATTTACTCATATTTTTTGTTATCTTTATACATTGAGTGAATAAATATTATTATTATTATTATTATTATTATTATTATTATTATTATTATTATTATTATTATTGTGTAGCTCATGGCTTTTTATTTACAATTTCATTATTTAAATGAAGAACTTAGCAACTTTTTCAAAGCTTAATAAAACTAAAGCTGACGTTTTAAAATTTATACAAAAAGCTTCAGCTATTTTAACCCACACAATCAAAATGTATACTCCTGTAGCTGGTGGATCCTGTTTTTTCATGAAAAACAGTCAGTCAAGTCATTGTTGGTTGTCAGATCGGTCCGTGGGACCTTAGCTCTTGAGTCACAGTGTCAGTTTGTAAGTCTGTCAGGTCTGGTAACCCAGAAACCCACAATTTTATCAAAAATAGTGGCGCAATAAGAAAGTTAAAGTCTCACCGTATAGTCTGAGCGTGCCTTCCGCCCTTCCAAGAGAGTTTGTGGAGACACAGTTGTAGGTTCCTATATCACTAGGCGAGAAGGAACGGATTACTAGCCACATGAACACCTTGTAGCCACTTCTGTCTTCTCTGATTGTATATTTTGTCCTGAAATCAAAAAAGCGTTTCTGAATACCAGCCTGAAACATGCGTACCTAGACATTTTACTTTTCACGCTTATTAGAGAGGAATTATTGTAATGGTGAACAATTTTGAGACCAAAATGTTTTTTTTCTATAACTGAGGCAGAAGGTAGAAAAAGATTTGAAGGTTTCGGAAATCGGATAAGTGGTGGCGGTATTATGAGCGAAAAACCAACAAATTTCAGAACCTTGCAAAATTTCGTTTTCCGATGACACTTTGGATAATTTTTGTGTGTAGTTAGAACATTCTCTGGCAGTAGATGATTAAACTTGCTCTTTACACTTAAGAGTAATAGGGAAGCCGAGCGGTTAGGCTCGCTGGTTAAAATCTCCGTCTTGGAGGTTAATTTCAAGCCATGGAGCTGGTTTATTCAATAATGAGCTACCACTAGATGGATTAGTACAGTGTTGGTACTACGTGGGGTCTGTTAAAAGGTTCCAAGGTAGTCTAGTTGCCAGGCTTCGTCTCTCAACTACTACTACTTTACCTTAGAGTGTCTCAAAAAACATTTTTAAGCAGGCATGTTCAATGTTTCACTTGACACTACTAGCGCAACTACTTTTTGAAAAGCATTGTATATCTATTTCGACGTATTCACAATCAATTGCCATTATATTCCATGCAGAATTATGTCGCACTGCATATTTGAACAGATATAGTGCAATAAATAATGTTCAGTGGTACAAACACGAGCGTAACCTTCTGATAAGCCAAATTAATCAGATATTCATTATATAATCCACATAAATAGTTTCTAAAGTGTTATTAATCTCTTTCAACGTGCTGGAGCGTGTTTGGCAGTAAATCCATTTATTTAGTTTGCTCTAATGAAGTAGACAGAATACAGAATGACTATTGACAAAATTAAGCTTCTAGTGTTCTATATTCCCTTGGTAGCTTCAAAACAGTTTTACATTCCGCAAGACCGTTGCATGTAAACAGTTGCAAGACGACATTGCTTTGTCATTACTTGCACATTCAAGAAATCCATATTTGCTCGATTCAAATGAGCAAGATTAGCCAACCTAAATGAATGAAATATTCCCTGCAACATTTCTAATCTATAAATTTGTTTTTGTTACCATTTACACATGGTTTTAAAATTCAAAAACTTTCAATCGTCGACCATTCTGCATCAAAGCACAATCAAAATACGTGAACTAGTCGTTCACAGGAAAAATTTAGATGCCCGAATAGTATTTGACCAGACTATTTCATGAGTAACAGATTATTCTGCATACACATAGCTTACAAGACTTATTGAAAATAAAATCAGAAAAATTGTTTAGCGTCGTTGTCTGGTGTCCTAGGAGACCATAACAATTACTTGTTATCAAAGGAATAGTAATTTTTGGTAACAACAGCTGTTCAGTTCTGCCGCGGGTAAACTCGGAAAAACTGCTGACAGGTGCATTTTCATACAATTTTTCCATCTAGAAACCATTTGTAATTTAAAATTGCGTGTTTATGATTGGTAGGAATCAAGACGAGCGAAATAGTGAAAATTGCCCAGTAGTAGGTCCGTCTATACATGGTGTCCGCAAAGTTGGGGTTTTCCTTTACACGACGTGTAGATCTTGAAAACATAAGCAATTTTTCTTAGTACCATATACACCAATGTCTTAAGGGAACCGAAATAAAGGGCTCTGCAACATCAAAAATATCTGAATACCGTACTGTAGCCGCGACATCACCGACTGGTACAAGGTCACTGTCTCAACCCGACGACAGAACTGGGTCGGGGTTAGTGTGTCAGGTCAGTATGCAACCTTCAACCGACGGTTACGGTCACGCGTGTAGAGGTAATCGCGTAGACGAGAATCCCTCAAAAAGCACTAGAGACGTGTCTAGAGAAGTGCAAAAACTGAAGTGTGGTAAACGCTGCGTGAAGAGGGGCTGTATCCGTTTCACGTCCAACGTGTACAAGCCCTTCAACCTGACTATTTTCCAGCAAGAGTGCGGTTTTGTGAGTGGTTGTTGCATCAACATGACAATAATCCGGACTTTTTGAAGTGCATATTGGTGACAGACGAATCTACGTTCACGCGTAATGGGGTGAATAACTTTCGCAACACTCTTGTTTGGTCAGTAAAAAATCCGCACGCTGTCCGTCGGGCACATTTTCAACAACCATTTTCGGTGAATGTTTGGGCTGACATGGTGAACGGTATGCTTATTGGACCATTTATTCTCCCAAACCGATTGGACGGGATGCAATACCTAGACTTTTTACGCAACATTTTGCCTTCCTTGTTAGAAGATGTGCCATTAAGTGTAAGACAATCAATGTGGTTTCTGCGTCTGCTCGGTAGCGCATCAGCTGATTTCATTTTCTGTTGGAGAGGTATGATTTCGGGCAGAGACGTACTTAGCCCTTCTCGTCAACTGGAGAGTGAGTACTTGTTCCTTTATTTTTTTTTACTTGGTCGCCCTCGTTGCACTACACATTACCGTTGTTATTTCAAGGGTAGTTGTTTCTGAAAAGGAAAACCCCAACTTTGCGGACACCCTGTATAGTTACGATTGATAAAATGTGCATTTGTCATCTTGACATTCATAAATATCGAATTTTAAAAATCGTTGTAATATCACGTTCTGTCTCATATTAATTTGTCAATTTTTGAGTACCTACTTAATGTAAATTTAAATAAAATTTCGAACTTAGCACAAACTTTTACTCTTTCAGCTTCGGAAATATTCTACCGAATTACACTCTTGCTTCAAAATAAACCTGATAATTTTCCGTTCAAGCACTTTGTTAGTAAAAAACGCATTCGGTTATTTCTATATTTTGGCGAAAGAGCCCGACTCCGAACTCGTGCAGTTTTTAGACAACAGACTTTCATGAAAAGTTATCGGTAATTTTGATGGACTTGTGTAATCACTTCCGAAAAATTTCAGATTAATTTCGTTGATAACGTTGATATTACGACACTAGAAAACATTTTTTCTACAATCAAGTTCGCGGCTACCAAAATAAATAAAATAGACATGATTACATATGTGACAAAATAAACTAAAAAACGTTCTCATATTTGTGTATTTTGAATTTCTATGGATAGACAGCTTTTGTATAAGGGCGCAGCAAAGTTTGATCTGATACGAATTTTGGAAATAGGTCCAGAGGCAGCGCAGCTAAAGGCAATAAAAAGGAAGAAGAAAAATCGGACATCATTTTTTGACGTTTCACAGATTTCTGGTAGCATTTTAAGGGCTAAAAGAGAGGTTGCTGAGGGTGTATCGCAGTATCTTCTAGACGTAGTAGCAATAAATATATCTACCTGTATCTAATCCCAGTAATTCTATGCACATATATTTCATAGTTAAGACTTGAATAGTGAAAATACATTTTTTATGCTTAACCGCTGCCGTGCGAAGATCAACGCGATTAATTTATTACCTCAATTCCTGAGAAGAAGTCAGCAGCGACACTCCTGCGATGTGGTCTAGCAATTGCGACTACTAGGGCAATATAATTTATTGAACATAAATAATCAGATACGGCGACAAAATTAGGGCTGTAGTTATTCAGGTGTGAAATAACGAATAGGCGTTCACTAGTAGTTTGCAAATATAAAGATATTTTGTGGAATAAAGAAACTCATCTATGTTTAGTATGTTTCCCTTAAGCAAATAATACCAGACCGTACGAAATTTGTATTCTATTATTAAAAAAAAAAAAATAAACTGACAATACTTTTTCTTCAATTATATGCATTGTATTAGAGCCCATAATTTTAATTTTTGCCAAATCAACAATACTCTTCCCACAGATATTCGTTCGTCTACATGGCATTGTGTTAGGGTACATGGATTTTTATAGCCAGCGTCCATTTGTTCAGAATTGCATGGGAATTTCTGAGTCTATGTACTTGATGTCATTTCATCTGAAACGTTTTAGGGATAGAAACGATATATTGCCAAAAAACTGCTTTTAGGTGCCATTTTTACAACATGATGGGCCGAACAGAAAAGATATGAGATAGCAAAGTGGAAATTCAAAATAAAATTTCCAAAACTTTCTGAAAATACTTCATAGGGTATCATTGAACGACTGAAGATATCAACCAAGACTGAACTGAATATGTTTGCTTTCTCTCTCTGTGATCATGACTAACTTCATGCAACGCTGTTTCATGACTAAATTTGTTATAGACACGGAAAGCAAACATTCAGTTCAGCCTGTATGTATAATAATAAAATTTAATTGATCATTGAAAATATCTAGGAATAATGATGAACATTGCAGTACTGCCCAGGAACTGTTAAGCCTGTCGTGTGTGCGTACCACTTAAGCATGGTAGATGCCTAAGCTACTACAGTATATTCAGATAAGAGATAGACCGGATGTAAACAAAAGGTTCGGGTGATTTTCACGCTAACGCCGCCGTCTCGACGTAAAACAGGAGCCCTCATTGGTCAATTCGCAATTAAATGCCTATGCCGAGCGGCAGAGCAGTCGTATCAAGGCAGAGTCACATTCAGGTTCAGACGTGTTACGTATGTCGTGTGCATCATTGCAATTTGATATTTCTTTGGACGTTTTCGTTTGTTATCTTATTAAGTTGTTGAGTTTGTCGTTGTTATTGTTATACCTTGTTATTGATTGTTATTGTTATCAACTGCTTGCGCAAAATGCCCAGTAGTAGAGATACTGCCGATGAAGTTGTAAACTCCTGTAGTCCACCTAGGAAACGCTCTAAAAAAAGACACCTGAGTGCAGAAATGAAAGAGGTCATTTTGAATATATATATATAAGATCGAGCGCGAGGAGAACGAGGCATCAACCATCAAAGAAATTGTTGTGAACGTTTCTCACAAAGTTGGGGTGTGTCGCGCATCAGTGTTTAATGTGTTAAGACAATACAAAAAAAATCACACCTTTTCTGAGCCAATGACCAGTAAACATCGCAAAAGTATTGTTAAATCATTGGATGAAGCTGATAAGCATGCGATTAGGAGGA